CGAAACACTGTTTCAACTCCAGCTCTGAGATCCTGGCTGGCTGAAAGCAGGTTTCTGGGGTTTGTTTAGCTTCTATATTTGTAACAATGTTTCAAAGTGCAAGCTCAGAGGCCGGCAGTGGCAGGCGGGGAACGTTGGAGTCCTCTGTCACTGGAGCAAGCAAGCCTCATGTTCGCTACAAGCTGCCTGGCATCCGGCCGCCATCTTGGTTGGCAGTTAATTTGCATATCGCCCTGATTAGCCAATGGGAAGGGTAGCGGAGGTATGGCTAATTACCATGTTACTCTTTTATTAGATAGGATAGACTAGAGGCCTGGTGCATGAAATTTGTGCAGGAGATGGGGGGTCCTCAGCCTGGCCTGCACCCTCTCCAATCTGGGATCCCTCTCACAATCTGGGACTGCTGGCTCCTAACTGCTTGCCTGCCTGCCTGATTGACCCTAAGCCCTCTGCCTACCTGCCTGATTGCCCCTAACTGCCTCTGCCTGCCAGCCCAATCGTTCCTACCTTGCCCCCCTGCCAGCCTGATCACCCCTACCTTTCCCCCTGCCAGCCTGATCGACTCTAACTTGCTCCCCTGCTGGCCTGATCACCCCTAACTGCCTCTGCCTCGGCCCCCAGTCTGGTCTCCCTCTGCAGGAGGCGACCTGGCAGATCAGGGGAAGGCACCACCCCCATTACCCCGCTGCTGCTGCCACTGCTGGCCTGAGCCTCGGCCCTTGCAGCCACTGCAGCTTTGTCTGGAAGGACGTCCGGAAGATGACCAGTCTAATTAGCATATTCCCCTTTTATTAGTATAGATTTGGGGACCATTACAACCACACAAAACTTAAAGAAAACACATAGCCCTGGCTGGTTTGGTTTAATGGAGAGAGCATTGGCCTGTGGACTGAAGGGTCCCAGGTTCGATTCTGGTCAGGGGCACATGCCTGGGTTGTGGCTCAATTCCCAGTAGGGGGCCTACAGGAGGCAGCTGATCAGTGATTATTATCATTGATGTTTCTATCTCCCTCTCCCTCTCCCTTCCTCTCTGAAATCAATAAAAAAATAATTAAAAAAAAAAAAAAAAAAAATGATCTTCACTTTGGGCTTTGTCATTTTACAATATCCTTTGTGCAGTATTTTAACTTCCCTCAACTTTCCTTTCCCACCCTTAAAATGCAATTTATTTGGGGGAAGATGATTAGGAAAGTGATTCTGGTGGGTAGAAGTTTTTATTTTGGAGGGGATGGGGTCATGAAAATATTTAAAAATTTAGCATGGTGATGATTGTGCCACTCTGAATTTACTTTAAAAAAACCAGTTCATTGTACACTTTAGGTGACATGTACAGTATATGAATTATATCTCAACAAAGCTGTTCTTTTATTTCTTTTTAAATAAAGACCAGTCTTATAATCAATTGCAGATGCTTTCAGAGCCCCCCCAGGATTTGCTTACCACGTCCCAAACCACGGCTGCGACTCCCAGTTGCCTCCAGTCCTGGCGGATCTGGATGGTGTGGTTTGCAAAGGAGAAGGTGGCAAGAGGCTTATGGAATTTCTGCGATCCCATTCCCGTGGTCTCCTGATAGGGCACCAGGGCCATTTCCACTGTGACAGCTCTCTGCTTCCTTTAACCTGTTGGGCAAAAGAATCCTGCATGCTCTGGCCAGAAAGTGCTTTCTCTCTTAGGTGGCCCGATTGCTTTTTTTAAGGTCATGTTATGGATTCAAAAGAATAAACAGATGTGGAAAGCTTTAGTCAAATTCCTTTTACATGGTTCTTCCAGTCTCAGGGAAGTGAGATGTGGTTCTGTATTCATCCCAAAGGGTGTCTTTGGTCAACAGCACCCAGAATGGCACAACTCCTTCAGGATGCCCTACACACTTCACTGTCAGGACTCAGGGGGGCTTGAGGGTGAGCGAGGCAGTGGTGCCAGCACAGGACCCAGAAGATAGAGCTTTCTACACTGCCCAGGCCTGTGTGGACTGCAGCTGCACCTGCTGAGGTGGGCAGGGTGTTTCTGCTGTTTTATTTTGGTCTGGCCTCCACCCCCTCAGCCACGGACCTGTACCTGCACTGAGACTATGAACAGCTCGATGGTCCTGCTTTTCGGTGGACGGTGGATGCACTCCCACCTCCCAGAGACTGGCAGTTAGACACTGGTGGCTTCTTAGTCATTCACGGGGAGAGCGCGGCCCTAGGTCCAGAACAGACTCGGGCGTCCGCGGCTAGGAGGCCTCCCTGAGGTAGGGGTCGCCGGCGGTTTGAAGGCTGGCCATGCCCCCGATCATGGCAGGGGGGGGTCTCCTCTGGGGCGCTGGGCCAGCCTGGGCTAGGGGCCACCAGTGCTTTGAAGGTCGGCCACACCCCCAATCCAGGCGGGGGTCCCCTCATGGTGACTGGTCATTTGGTCATTTGAGCTGTGACACCTCTTGGCCTTTTATTATTATGATATATACTAGAGGCCCGGTGCACAAAATTTGTGCACTTCAGCAGGGGTGGGGGCGGGCCTCAGCCCAGCCTGCACTCTCTCGCAGTCCGGGAGCCCTCAGGGGATGTCCAACTGGCGGGCCTAAGCTGTCAGTTGGACATCCTTAGTACTGCTGCAGAGGTGGGAGAGGTTCCCGCCACTGCTGCTGCACTCACCAGCCATGAAACCGGCTCCGGGCTTCTGGCTGAGTGATGCTCCCCTTATGGGAGTGCACTGACCACCAGGGGACAGCTCCTGCATTGAGCGTCTGCCTTCTGGTGGTCAGTGCGCATCATAGCGACCAGTCGTTCCACCGTTTGGTCGATTTGCATATTAGCCTTTTATTATATAGGATATATATTGATTTTGGAGAGGAAGGGAGAGGGAGAGATAGAAACATCAATGATGAGAATCATTGATCAGATGCTTCCTGCACACCCAATACTCAGGATCAAGCCTGCATATGCCCTGTCTGGGAATCAAACCATAACTGCCTGGTTCATAAGTCGATGCTCAACCACTGAACCACACCAGCCAGGCTGACGAGAAGACTCTTGATTGGAATCTTGAAAAGGTTTACTTATAATTTGCTAGAAAGAGGGATAAAGTGGTACAAGCAAAGGAACTGTACTTGCAGAACTGATAAGCAGAAAAACAGAAGGTGAGCCTGGAAATCTGTAAGTGGCTCAGTATGGCTGCATGGCTAATGATTAGGAAGAGGGCACTTTCTAGAGATTAAATCAGAGAGGAAAAGTAGAAACTGGATCATGAAAGTTTATTTTTTTCAAACCATATTAAGGAGTCTGAAATTTATTTACTTGACCTATACTATAACTTTAGCCCGTGCTACTATTTCTTTAAAATTTTGACTCACTTTTTGTCCTACAGAATATTGTTGATTAAATCACAGGTCTTAGATGTTAGTTATATCTTTATAATTTGTGTTGAAATGAACACATAAGTATCAAAATAAAATGTTCTTCCATGTACTCACTAAAGTCACCTGTGCGCAACCATGAGTACCATAGTTTGAGAAACAGAATCGGAAGCAATGGAAGCCATGTAAAGATTTTAAGCAGCCAAAGAACACCATCAGGTTTGCCTTGGATATATATTTTGGCAGTTAATCACTTTGCACTGAATGGAAATAAGTAAAAGTCACACAAATAAGACCACAAACTAAGATACTTGCACAGTAGTCAAGGTGAGCAATGAGATAATGAACAAAGACAGCAACAGTGGGAGTGAGGGGAGGGTCTGGATATAAAAACATTCAGGAGATAGAACTGACTAATAGTAATGACTGGGAAAAGGAAGGAGTTGGGGACAAACTCCAGGGTTCTAGAATGGGCAGCACAGCAGATAACTGTTTATGCTCCAGGACAGTAAATGGAGAGAAAGTCGATTGGGAGAGCAGGGCAGGGTTTAAAGGAAAATGATTATTTTGGTCTGCAACATGCTGTATTTGAAGTGTTTGTGGAACACTCATGTAAGTGCTTGAATGCCTGAGTGTGGGGCTCAGGGCGTCTCCAGAGCAGTGCTGCCCAGTAGAAATATTCAGTGAGCCACCATGTTAATGTTCAAGTGGTCATGTTAAAAAAAAGGTAAAAAGATGTAGATGACAAAAAAAGACATAGATGAAATCAATAATGTATCCTATCTAATAATAGTCAAAGATGGTAATTGACCGTACCTTCGCTACACCTCCCATCGGCTAATCAGCACGATATGCAAATTAGTCTCCAAAAAATATGGCAGCTAATTTGCATACTGCAGGCAGGGCGGGACAGTGCGAGCCGCCATCCGGGCCCTGTGTGCAGCCCTGGGTGGAGGGGCTTAGGTGGCGCTTTTGCGCCACCTAAGCTCCGCCCCCAGCCAGGACCCCCGTGTGCCACCTAAGCCCCACGCCGCCTAAGCTCCGCCCCCAGCCAGGACCCCGGTGTGCTAAGCCCCGCCCCCAGCCGGACCCTGTGTGCCACCTAATCCCCGCCCCCATCCAGGACCCCCGTGTGCTGCCTAAGCCCCACGCCGCCTAAGCTCCGCCCCCAGCCAGGACCCCATGGCGATTAGAAAGCAGGAAAGTGCTGCCCACAGGCAGCACCCAGCTGGGCCTGACCCCGAGTGCCCTGGCGATCCAGCAATTGTTGAGCAGGAAAGTGCGGCCTGTACACAGCACCCAGCAAGGCCTGCCCCTGGGTCACCGGGGCGATCCCAGAGCAGGAAAGCGCGGCCTGTAGGCAGCACCCCACCCTGGCCACAGCTCAAGGGAGAGTACAACACGCAGTGGAGGCCAGGAACCTGAGAGATCAACAGAAAGGGGCGCCTGCTCCAAGCCTCCACAGTGTGGCTGGGGGCAGGCCCCCAGCAAAAACACACACACACACACACACACACACACACACACACGGGATGCCTGCTCCGAGCCTCTGCTGCCAGACGGTGGCCGTCAGTAGGGCATCCACTGAGGGCTCCTGGGACTGAGGGGCAGGCTGGGATGAGGGAACCCCACCCCCCAGTGCACGAATTTTGTGCACCAGGCCTCTAGTTTTATATAATCCAACATATCTAAAATACTACATTTCAAGATGAATCAATATAAATGCTATTGAGATAATTTTTCTTTTCTTTTTTTTTCAAGTCTTCATAATCCAGTGCATTTTTTCCACTGAGAGAACATCTCAGTTGACATTCTAAGCATTTGATAGCCACTTGTGGGGTTGGCTTACCGTATTTATTGGACAGCATGGCTCCAGAAGGAAGAGTATGAGAAAGTCAAAGACAACCTGATGAACATCAGTGCTGGGGTGTGTGGATAGGAGTCAGACACGGAAAGAGGACATATCAAAACTGAATAAGATGTAGCCAAAAAGGTTTGAGGGAGAATGAGAAAAGAGCTAACATCAAACCCAGAGAATTTCACAAAGAGGGACACTGAATGGACTCAAGTGTTGCAGGGAAGTCCTCTGGGTTAGGCGCGTGGGCTCCAAGCAGACACAGCCCAGTTTAAATCCTGGCTTGGCTGCTTACAGCTGGGTGCTGTGGCAGAGGCTGTTGACACTATGGATGCCTGGTCCACCTCTGAGTTCACCTGAAGCTTGGGAACCGTTTCCAGCCCACTGACAGCATCCCACTTCAATCCACCGCCTTCTGGTATTCAGGGCTGCTCCACTGGCCAGGAAGTCTGTCTCCCCTAGTCCCATGAAAGACAGGAACAATCCTTAGCCACAGAAGGATGGGTCAATGGATAAGCACCTCCACCTCCTTATCTGCCAGTGGCACGATTTTAAGGGAGTGCATATGTTTTCTATTGCTGCTGTGAAAAATTACCACAAACTCTGTGGTTTGAAACAACACACATTTATGATCTTGAAAGGCGCGCCGCCCGCCTCTCCGGGCAGTGCGGGAGGAGGAGTCTGGCCGCTGGGCTCTGAAATCCCTCCGCGCCCGCCGTAAGGCCTGGCCTCCCCGGAGCGGGTCCGAGTGTCCGGACCGGCTGCGTGGCGGCGGCGGGCTGAGGGGTGGGGCCAGGTGGCGACCGACCACGGGGGAGGTCGTGGGAGCAGAAGGCCTCACCGCCTGTCTCTTTCCTCCCTTCCCCCGTGGTCGGCTCCCCGCTTGCCCGTGCTGGGGCTGGGGGGTCCATGCGGCCCTCGGGGCCCAGTCAGGGGGGCCTGCGTGGGCCGGCCGCCGGGCCCCATGAGGCATCGGCTCCCCGGCCCACAGCGGGAGCCCAGCGCAGGCTGCCACCCGCCCGCTGCCCCCCGGACCGGGCGTCCAGGCGGGCCGCGTGGACCCCCGGCCCCGGTGCAGCAGCGGCGGCAGCGGAGTGGGGCGCGTGCCCTAGCCCGGGGAGGCCGCCGTGCTGTGGTGCGCTGGCCCCGTGGGCCAGGCCTGCTCCGAGCGGATGCTGCTCTTCCGGAGCTGGGCCGTTCCGCCGGCCGCAGGTGCTGTGCGGGAGGGCCATCCTGCCTTGCGGCGTGTTCGAGCGGCAGCAGTGGGAGCCGGGCGAGGACTGCGCCCTCCATCTTGCCTTGGGTCCTCCATTTTGGGACAGAGCCATGTGCTTCTTCGCCGGGGGAAGCCGCTGCTAGCTACACCCAGGATTTCTCTGGACTAACCAATAATAATCAAGGGAAGTGCATGCCTGGCCAATCGGCGGGGCACACAGTCCCCTCTCCTGCCCTCACTCCACCCCCCCTTTAAAACCCCCTGTCCCATCAGGTCTGGTGAACGGGGAGCTCAAGCCGGCTTGCATTAAAAAGGACTCTTTGCTTTTGCATAGGACTGACTGGCTCCCTGGGGGTCTTGGGAACTTTGAAATCTGGGCACAACAATCTGACAGTTTTGTGAACCCAAAGACTGACATGGATCTCACTCAGGTAAGATCAAGGTGCCAGCAGCACCTTGATCAAGGTGCATTCCTTTCTGGAAGCTCTAGAGCAGCGGTTCTCAACCTGCGGGTCATGACCCCTCTGGGGGTCAAAAGGGGTTGCCTAAGACTATCGGAAAACACATATATAATTACATATTGTTTTTGTGATTAATCACTATGCTTTAATTATGTTCAATTTGTAACGATGAAATTGGGGTCACCACAACATGAGGAACTGTATTAAAGGGTCGCGGCATTAGGAAGGTTGAGAACCACTGCTCTAGAGGAAAATCTTGTTTCCTTACCTTTTCCAGCTTCCAGAAGACTCCTGTTTTCCCTGATTGTGGCCCCTTATTCCATCTTCATAGCCAGCAACATTGGGCTGAATCCTTCTCACACCACGATCTCTCTGGTTCTCTTTCGACTCCATCTTTCACTAAGAAGGACCCTTGTGATTACACTGGGTCCTCCCAGATATTCTAGGATAATCTCTTTTAATTAAATAATTAGCAAACTTAATTGCACGTGCAACCTGAATTCCTCTTTACTTTGTAACATAACATGTTCACAGGTTCCAGAAATTGGGACATAGACATCTTTGGGGTGGGGTGGGGGGTGGAGGGGATGGAGTGTGGTGGCGTTATTCTGCCCATCAAAGGAGGGCAGAGTTGGCAGTTTTTCAGAGGTGCCAACTGAACCCTGCTGCCCACAGAAGAAACCCACTCATTTACCTTCTTTCTGGCTTTCTCCCTCCCTATCTCCTTTTGTCCACTTCTTGACTTGTGCTTCCTGAGATCACCTCCCAAATACACTCCCTTCCCCCAAAACCTCATCTCAAGATGTGCTTGGAGGGACCCAAAGTAAGACGGTAACATTGGGTAAGTTACTCAATCGGTCTAAGCCAGCCGTGGGCAAACTACGGCCCGCGGGCTGGATCCGGCCCATTCGGCTGTTCTATCCCGTGGAGCCGAAAGAGCGGAGGGTTCTCTTGCTCTCCCCTCCGCTCCTTCACCAGCAGCAGTGTTAACACGTATTAGTTCACACAAACACTCCATCCATGCTTTTGTTCCGGCCCTCCGGTCCAGTTTAAGAACCCATTGTGGCCTTCGAGTCAAAAAGTTTGCCCACCCCTGGCTAAGCCTTAGTTCCCTCCACCAGGAAAGTAAAATATATAATAGTATCTTATCTTATCCTGAGGTTGTTGGGAGGATTCTGAGTTGACCTTCATAAGACACTGTGGGGTGCATCGCAAGTCCACAAGAAGTTAGCTATTGTTGGAGCGGTGGCTGCTGGAGCACAGCAGGCACCAGACTTAGAGGTGGTCTTCCCCCCATGACACTGGCCCTGATGACCAGAGAGGGCTGGGCTGGGGCCAGGGTGGGAAAACTGGAGGGTTTCCTCTGAGACCATCCATTTTCTTCTCGAGGTGCATCTGCTACTGAGGGCAGTAAAGTGTGGTATAGACTTTGGGAGCATAATGAACATTAGGAATACGTACCTAAAGATTTTTGAGCTTCCAGAAAAGTCCAGTTGGCCTGAAGGCTGACTGGGGCAAGGATGGAGAGAAGCTCGCAGGAATGAGCATGTTCTGAGGATGCCAGCCTCTGACTCAGCAGGGACCAGCTTCCTGCTCGTCCAGCTATTCCATTTGTGAAATCTCCGCTGGGTTCCATCCAAGGTCTCTCACAGTCTCCCCTCCCCCAACTCTCCACTGGTTAATCTCACCTTTTTCCAGGCATCAAATACATTTACATGCTGATGGTACCTACATTTGCATCTCAAATACAGAGCACACCCCCACCCCGAGAGTCAAACCTTGTTTTACCAGTTGCCAAGGCAAACTGCGGCTCTCGAGCCACATGCGGCTCTTTGGCCCCTTGAGTGTGGCTCTTCCACAAAATACCGACTTCTGTGCATGGGCCACGAAGTTTCAATCGCACTGTACGTGCCCGCCCGCACGTGGTATTTTTGTGGAAGAGCCACATACAAGGGGCCAAAGAGCCGCATGTGGCTCGCGAGCCGCAGTTTGCCAACCACTGGTAGACTATCTAGCAGACACCTGAAACAACATTTCCAAAGCTGAACTCCCTCCAAAACTTGTTTGCCTTCCAACAGTTCCTGTTTCAATTAGTAGCATCAATAACCACCCAGTCTTCGAAAAATAGAAATCTAAGGGTCATCTTATGCTCCATCCTCCAACTACACATGAAATCCCTTCAAATCCCCTCCCTTTTCTGCATTCCTGCTGCTTCAGTTCAAATACCCGGGACTCCATGCTTGACTACTAAGTACCATTACCTCCTGATTAGGGATGTGGCCCCATTTTTCCCTCCGGGAGAGGGCATCCTCCCAGATGTGACACAGGCTTTTTATAAACTAAACCTGTAAAATACAAATCTGACAAAATCTGCTGACTGCGCCCTAAAAACCGAACTCCTCAGCATGACACATGCATCTTCACAGAGTCCTAATCACCTCTGTTGCCAGCACCTTCCCTAATCCCAGATTCCTGTTTTTCTAGTGTGACTTTTTTTTTTGATTGTGCATTTTATTTTTTAATTTATTTTTGCTAAAAGCCAAACAAAACTAAAACCCCACAATACCTCACACAATCAATTTTAAAAGGGAGGGGACCAGGAAAGAAAGATACCTGTATTCTCCTGCTCTGATTCTGGAATGGTGCCTGGGGATTGTGTATATCTGAGACTTCACGGGTGATCCAGGTTTGTCAACCACAGGGTTATGCGTTCATACACAAGTCCTACAAATCACATCAAAGAACCCAGAGAAAGGACACAAAAAAGAGGAGCCTGTTTCCTATGTTGACACCCGCATCACTTCTGCATCCTCACCTAGATGGAAATCCTGGGTAATTGTCAAAGCAATTTTAAGAATGAAAAGGGCATCCATCTGTAATACCTTAATCAATAAAGAAAAAATATAAAAATAAAGAAGGAAAAGGGCATCTGCATAGCCTACAAACCTGACTGGCAACCTAAGCACCTATCAGCATCTTTCTGTTACCCTAAACATTGCTGCCCCAAAATACATTCGAAAATGCTGAACCAACTACTCTGGAAGTCTGGTCGTCCACACTTTTTGGTTTTAAGGGAAGCCCTCCACTATATAGTCTGAAACCACTGTGCTTGGTTTTAGTCAGCAATGCGGTAGAAAGTCGAAAACCGGGACAAGTTAACTTCACAAGCTGCAGCTCTCCTATCGCTGTCAGTTCAAACACATACAGCATTAGCCTGCCATGTTTACTCGGATGTGTGAGGAGTAAACAATATGACTGGGGAACCTTAAGCTCGGATTTCCTCCCACCACCTGAAAAGTTCAAGAAACTTTGCAGGACGCTTACATGTTCACTAAGGCTCATACTAACACCCGAGCCAGGCTGAACAATAGGAGAGCCGACGAAGTCGCTGGTCATCCACACGCCGAGGGTGATTGTAAACCCTCCGCCTTGGCAGAGGCGCCTTTTCCTCTGCTCCCACTCTTTTTCAAATGGTCTCCACGGTCATTGTCTGCCAGCGCCACGCGCCGTGCGCGCGCGGGGAGGAGATCCAGCGTCCCGCGCCGCGCCGCGCGGCGGAGCCCCGCCAGGATTTGGAAAACATTCCGAGCCCTTTCTGCGGGGCGAGGAAAAGCCGGTGGCCTGGGCGCCAAAGGCTGCTGCCAATGCAAGTCGCAACTTCTGAAACCCATCCTCTTTGCATCATGCAACGGATGCCACCGCTCCTCGCCTCTGCAACCCCCCACCCCTCCCCCGAGACCAATCATTGCCGCGCTCCGGCCTGCACCGCGCCCCCGCCCCCTTCCCGGGCCGCACGCAGCCACGGAGCCGCTCCGGCCGCGGCCCGCCACCTCTTAAAGGGAGGTAGACGGCCCTTAAAGGCCCCTTGGGGCGGCGCACGGCGGAGCGCGGCTGCCCCGTTCCCCGCAGGGGCCCGCGGAGCCGGGCCGAGCCTTCGCGGCGCCCAGCGCGGCCCGGACTCTCCCGCCCTCCGCGCCGCCGCCGGGAGCGGCATTTTTATTCAGGCGACGCTTAAGGGAGCTCGGCACGCCCGGTGCATTGTGGGAGCGGCGGCGGCCCGTTTTCGGGAGGAGGCGGAGGGCGCAAAGCGAACCGGTAAGTGCCCGGCTCGGGGAGGGGGGGCGCGACACCAGGCTTAAAGGGGAATATTGGTCCGCAGGCCCCGGGCGGCCGTGCGGATCCCCCTCCGGGCCGCCCGGGCTGTCGGGAGCCGTGCACGGCGGCGCGCGCGAGCGCTGCCTGCAGAGGGGCCGCGCCAGGGCTTGGTGGGGCCGCTTTAAAAATGAAGCACCGCCCGCGCCGCCGCCGCAGCCGCCGCGCGGGGCCGGGGAAGGAGGGAGGGAGAGAGGGCGGGGGAGGAGTGGAGGGGGAGGGCGGCGGCGGCGAGGCAGGGGTTAATTTTTTCGCCCGCCGACATTTTTGTGCGGCGGCGGCGGCGGCGGCGGCGGCGGCCCGCGCGCGCGGCGGGAGAACCTAGGCCGGTCCCCTGGCGCGGCGCCTCCCCGCCCCCCCGCGTGCGCCCTCCGGCCTGCGGCTGCCGACTGAACCTGGGCGCCCCGGCCGGGCGCGGGCCGGCCAGCTGGCAGCGGTCCCGCCTCGCTCGCCCCGCCGTGGCCAGTGGGCCGCGCGCGCTTCCCGCCGTCGCCGCGGTCGGGAGGACGGGCGTGCGGGCATGGCCCCGCCAGCGACACCGCGCTGCCTCCCCCGGCCGCGGCCAGCCCGCCGCGCCGCACAAAGAGCCCGGGCCCGGCTGGCCTTTCAGAGCAACAGCCTGAGAGTCCAGGTGTCCCGGGGTTCCGTGCTCCGGCGGCTTCCATGTGTGTTTCACGGCGAGCGCCTGGTCGGCGCCCACGTCGCCGCGTCCCCTCCATTGTTGGTGTCCTGGGCTTAGGGGCTCGGAGGTAGGTGGGTATCGGCAGCGGCTGCACCCTCTCCCCGCGCTGGCTGTGGTCCCTCAGCCGTGCCGCCCGCCTCGCCATCTGGTTCAAAGAAATGTTAACGTGGCCCGGGAAGGAAAGAGTTAACCTTACTTTAAATATTCATGTTATTTTTTTTTCATGTTATTGTTTTAAAGGTGTAAACTGGCGGCTCTGTGCTTGGAGTTGACTCTTACTTTGCACATATGCACATTCCCTCTCCCCCTCGCCTCCACTTATTGCTTATTTTCCCAAGCAGCCCGCCTTCCCCACGCCCTTCCCCAAAGTACGAGAATGTATCTCTTTAAGGTTCTGATGTGACTGTGATTGGTGTCTCTAGTGCCATTTGGAACTTTAAAACTCCTGAGTGCCTTAGGGACTTCTGGTGTCTTAGACTTTTTCCACTTTAAAAATCTTGCAAGGTATAAATTATGTTTTAAAGGAACTGTAGTCCCCAAAAGTCCAAATTCCTCTCCCCACCTGTTTTTTTTTTCTTTCTTTGAATAGGGATTAGAGTAGGAAAACAACTGGATGCCTCTTGAGTTGTTTTTTTTGTTGTTCTTGGTAGGCCTGTCGCTGTGTTAAATGCGAAGCATTTTGAGAGGAAAGGACTTGTTTTTGTTCCAGACTCTTTCAAGTCAACGTGCTGATGGACTTTTCTAACTCTCAAATGGCTTCAAAGTTCCATCTTGGCCACTTGCTTTTTGCTCTCCTGCCGTCCTCCTTTTGGACAGGTTGTTTTCTTGGAAAGTTGCACGGTTGTAGCTTTCAAACCACACTTCTTGCTCACCCCAGATATGTTTTTGTAAAGACCGTTTGGATTACTGCCCAAACTCGGGCTTGGTGAGATTTATTTAAATGTGATGTCCTTCCCAGGGGGTTGAAAACTCAATAAATGGGAATTATGTTCTTGATCATCTATTTTATAAGGGAAACTGACCCTGTAACTTTGGGTGTCTGTAATTCTATGCCCAATAAAATATCAGTCTGGAGGTTTGTAAACTCTGAGAACACATGCGAGCTTTTGGTGTAGCCCCAAAGGTTTCAAACTCGGAAGTGCGTGTTCCAGAAACTTGCAGTGGTACCAGGTACTAGTGATTTAGTACAGCATAAGTGATCATTTTAGTTCTGCAGTGACAGTATGCAGTAGCATATTTTGTCAATGATGTGTGTGTACAAGTGTGTTGAGCAGATGTTTGCTTTCTAGGAACTAGCACTGCATTGAAACTTTATGCCACCCTTTAACCTTGTGTTAAACAGCCATTCCATTTTTCAAGTTGTGTTCTTTAGTGAGACTACCTATTAGTTTTGGATCGTGTTGTATACTTCTGGCTCAGTTTTCTAAAGTTGAATTTAGCATCATGAAGAATTTCATCAACTGCCTTTTCATCAGTGTCCTTTTCCTGCCAAGTATTTAGTAGGTGCTTTATTTTCTATGTGATATAGCAAAGATATCAGAAAAGTTTTCCAGAAAAGTCACTTTAGCAGAACATCTAATTTCTAAATCACAGTGCTTCTGGGTTGACAGATGAAGTGACTAGATGTTTTCTCATAATGCTTCCCACTAGAACAGCCGTGGGCAAACTACGGCCCACGGGCCGGATCCTGCCCGTTTGAAATGAATAAAACTAAAAAAAAAAAAAAAAAAAAAAAAAACCGTACCCTTTTATGTAATGATGTTTACTTTGAATTTATATTAGTTCACACAAACACTCCATTCATGCTTTTGTTCCGGCCCTCTGGTCCAGTTTAAGAACCCATTGTGGCCCTCGAGTCAAAAAGTTTGCCCACCCCTGCACTAGAAGCATTTGTGACTTTTCAAGATGGCACTGTGTCATGTTAACCAGCTGGCCCGTAGTTCCTTCTTCAGAGGGGGTCTTGCTGCCCCTCAGAGCCACAAACATTAGATCTTATGTAGAAGACTAGAGGCCCAGTGCATGAAATTTGCATAGGTAGGGTCCCTAGCGTCTGCCAGCCTGGGCCTCTGTTCATTCCACACCACTCCCTGGTGGTCAGCGCCCATCATAGCAAGCAATCGAACTCCCGAGGGGACACTTTGCATATTAGGCTTTTATATAGAGAGAAATGCTTGTGATGGTATAGTCACTTTAAAAAAATTGGTTTATGCCTCACTGTGACTGAACTGTTATAGCCTCTGATCATCATTTCCCAGCGGTCTTACTGATTTCAGTCCTTTTCACATTTACTTTTCACTTTCATGTATTCACTTGATTCTTGGCAGATACTAGTGAGAAACCTTTTAATGGTGTCTTTGTGTTTTGATGATACTCAGGTGTATCTGTGAAGAAACCAGTGGACTAAGAGAGGGAGGAGAGGAGCCCAGCTGTGAGGTGTGTACGCCCAAGAGCCATGTCTACACGGGAGTCTTTTAACCCGGAAAGTTATGAATTGGACAAGAGCTTCCGATTAACAAGATTTACTGAACTGAAGGGCACTGGCTGCAAAGTGCCCCAAGATGTCTTGCAGAAATTGCTGGAATCCTTACAAGAAAACCACTTCCAAGAAGATGAGCAGTTTCTGGGAGCAGTTATGCCAAGGCTTGGTATGTGAACCATTGTTTCTCTGGTATTTCTCTGAGTAAAGCATCTTGGCTGCAATATAGTCAGAGTAAAAAAACCAGACAGCTCTCCTTCCACGTTGCCTTTAAAAAAATTCTAAGAAAGCTGGTTTGGCTCAGTGGCTAGAGCATCAGCCTGCAGACTGAAGGGTCCTGGGTTTGACTCTGTACATGGGCACATGCCCAGGTTGCGGGCTTGATCTCTAGAAGGACATGCAGGAGGCCGCCAATCAATGATTCTCTCTTATCGATGTTTCTATCTATCTCTCTTCCTCCCTGAAATTAATAAAAATATATTTTAAAACAAAAAAAAGAAAGATTCAAAGGATGAAGCAATGGTAACTTACATTATTATAATTTATTTGGAGGAGGAAGTACTTGAAAATCATCAAGAAATGTGCCTTAACCATTTATAAACTATTAAGTGCATGATTGAGACATATTACAGTAAAAGCATTTTTTATTAAATTGATTTTTCTGGTTAGCTGAGGACTAAGCAGAAACTCCTTTATGCCTTTATCCTAAATTTTCCCACTTTCCCTTAAAATGCTTGCATTTTCTTCATTGCCTTAGGAAAGGAGGTGCTTAAGTATCATTGTAAATTGAGAGTTTTGACTGCGTTGGGGGGGGAGGGGGGAATTGGGATATTTCTCCACAGTATGCATTGCTTGAAAAGTTCCTGCAGGCAGGAGGGAGAAGAAACCTGTCCCAGACACAGAAGGGGAGAAGACAGGCCTGAATCTGTACTTGACCCCAGATGTCATCTGGAATTGAGAGCTATGTTGTTTTCTTTACTGAATTCCCAATGTCATCAGTGGTTTACCTTTTCCCAAACATAGGTCTCAGAAAGAAATTCTGAGTTATTGGGATATTGTTTGTTAGCTTTTGTTGTGTGGTTTGTCAGTACATGATGCAAGACTGTGATCACTTTGCCGTTTAAATGTTTGGCGTATATTCTAGGAATCTGGATGTTTTGTAGTTCGAGTGTGTGACTCGATCAGCTTTCTTTTATTTATTTTATTTTTTGGTTAATCCTCCCCTGAGGATATCTTTCCATTGGTTTTTTTTTTTTTTTTAAATATATTTTATTGATTTTTTACAGAGAGGAAGGGAGAGAGATAGAGAGTTAGAAACATCGATGAGAGAGAAACATCGATCAGCTGCCTCCTGCACATCTCCCACCAGGGATATGCCCGCAACCCAGGTACATGCCCTTGACCGGAATCGAACCTGGGACCTTTCAGTCCGCAGGCCGACGCTCTATCCACTGAGCCAAACCGGTTTTGGCATCCATTGGTTTTCAGAGAGTGAAAGAGAAGCATGGATGTGAGAAAGAGGCATATCTATGGGTTGCCTCCGGCACTTGCCCTGGGGCAATCACAATCCAGATACTTGCCCTTGACTGGAATAAAACCTGAGACCCTTCAGTCCGCAGTCTGCTGCTCTAACCACTGACAAACACCGGCTAGGGCTTGGTCAGCTTTCTTTTTTATTTTATTTTTTAAAGCTGCTGAGAGGCCAAGTAAAATGAAGTCTTGAGGAGAGATATTTGCAGTGTTCTTCCTGCATTTTAAATATTTTTATTGATTTTGAGAGGGGGGGGAGGAGGAGAGAGAAATATTGATATGAGAGCAGCCCATCAACCAGCTGCCTCTTGCACACCCCCTACTGAGGATCAAGCATGCAACCTGGGCAGGTGCCCTCACCAGGAATGAAACTGTGGCCATCCAGTCAACTGAGCCCCAATGGCCAGGGCTGATCAGCTTTCTTACCTAAGGTCTGGTGTGTGTGTGTGTGTTTTAGATATATTTTTATTGATTTCAGAGAGGAAGGGAGAGGGAGAGAGATAGAAACATCAATGACAAGAGAGAACCATCATTCGGCTGCCCTGTGCACGCCCCCGCCCCCCTCCCCTGGGGTTCGAGCCCATAACCAGGGCTCGTGTCCTTGACTGAAATCGAACCCGGAACCCTCCAGTCTGGGTTCCACTGAGCAGAACCAGCCAGGGCCTTACATAAGGTTTTTATTTCACTTATTTTCACCCATTATCATATTGTGAGTACAACATTGGTTTCAACCGAGGGTACTCCTTTCTTCCTTAATATACAAAGTAGATAAAAGCAGAGTTACTTTGATTAGGAGAGAGGAAAGCTCACAGCCGAAACTCTAGGGGCCTCAGGACTCCCAGGAGCTCAATTTGAAACATCCTCATCTAGCTGATGTCTGAGTGGGTAGAAATACCGCATGAATGAATTGGATTGGATAATAGCTTACTTGACAAGAAGTAAGAATACGAATAGTTCCTGATTTATGATGGTTCATTTCATGACTTTTTTACTTTATGATAGTACAAAAGCATTCAAGTAGAAACTGTACTTGGAATTTTGAATTCCAATCTTTTCAAAACCAGGCTAGTGATATGCAGTATGATGTTCTCTTGTGATGCTAGGCAGTGAGCCATAGTCACGGTCAGCCAGGATATCACGCGGGGACACAACTGATACTCTACAGTGTATTTATTGTGTATGTTCTAAGCATGTTTAAGGTAGGCTAGGCTAAGCTATGATGTTCGGCATTTTTGACAGGATATTTTCAAGTTACAATGGGTTTATTGGGATGTAGCACCATCATAAGTTGAGAAACATCTGTATACTGAAAAAACTCTTAAATAACTTTGTCAAGAAAAATAAGTTGCTGAATGGGGCAAAAACAATGCAATTAAAAACCTGTGGATAAAGTAATAGTTTCTTTTTATAACTTCCCCTGTTGACCTTATTGAGCACTTGGACATGCCGTGCACTGTTAAGTGCTTAGATAATGGGTAGGGGTAGGATCATTTGCTCCTTTCAGCAGCCTCATGATGCTTGGCCAGGGTCCAGATCTGGAATCCACATCTTCCCATTCCTCTACTCTCTGTCATCTGGTTTCTAAGTCCAAACGTGTTCAAAGTGGGCAGAGGAGCTGCACCACCTATAATCCTTAGCAGTGGCAAAAGGGGACAGATGTCACCAGCAAGGAAAGAGGCAGGGAAAAGAACACAAAAGTAATGGGCTTTGGTCACATAGGGATTTTGAGAAGTAAATGAAAGCTGCCCCTTTCCCAGAAAAATGCACATCCACAAAATTTGCCCTTACGGCATTTGGTAGGTGTAGCTATGGACCCCAGGTTACAAGCAAATAGATGCTAAAGGAAGCATAGTATTAAAATTGAGTACAGAGTGGTATATCTTGATGGCATAACTTTCCTTTGGAATCAGATCTAGATTTATATCCTGACACAGTCACTTACTAGTCACTAATGTTACTCTGCATGTTTTTAATCCTCCTGATGCCTCAGTTTTCTAATTTATACAATGGGATAATAAATTATTGTACCAGAACTTGTATGTTCATGCACCAAGTATTATATATCCTATCTAATAAAAGAGAAACATGGTAATTGGCGTACGTCCGCTACCCTTCCCATTGGCTAATCAGCGAGATATGCAAATTAACTGCCAGCCAAGATGGCGGCCAGCAGCTTGAAGCTAACATGAGGCTTGCTTGTTTCAGTGACGGAGGAAACCAATGTTCCCCGCCTGCCTTGCCGGCCTCTGAGCTTGCAGTTTGAAACATAGTTACAATTATCGAAGCTAAACAAAACCCCAGAAACCTGCTTTCAGCCCGTCGGGATCTCAGAGCTGGAGTTGATACAGTGTTTCGACTATAGAACCCAAACAAACCAGATTCCTGCTTTTAGCAGCAGAGGCCTCAGAGCTGGAGCCAGAGCTAAAGCTGGCCCAGAATACAAAAAAAGAAAAGAAAAACAGGAGCAGTTGGGAGCGTCAGTCACCCGCCAGCCTGAAAACAGCCCTCAGCCCCTCACCCAGACTGGCCAGGCACCCCAGTGGGGACCCCCACCCTGAAGGGTGTGTGACCAGCTGCAAAGAGCCATCATCCCCTCACCCAGGCTGGCCAGGCACCCCAGTGGGGACCCCCACCCTGATCCAGGACACCCTTGAGGGCAAACCAGCACCAGGCTTCTATTCTATATAGTAAAAGGGTAATATGCCTCCCTGCACCGGGATCAGCGGAGCCGTGAGGCCTCCCGGCACCGGGATCAGTGTGACAGGGATCAGCGCTCAAACCCCCTGATCACCCTGCGGCTCTGTGTGTGACAGGGGGCGGGGCCACAACCTCCCTATCCGCCCTGCTCTGTTCGTTACAGGGGAAGGCGCCCCAAACCCCTGATCGGCCCTGCTCTGTGCCTGATAGGGGGGAGCTCCCCAACCCCCTGATCAGCCCTGTTCTCTGTGTGACAGGGTGCGGCGCCCCAACCCTCCCCCCCACGGGCCCTGCTCTGTGTGTGACGGGGTAGAGCCATAACCTCCCCATCGGCCCTGCCCTGAGTGTGAGAGTGGCGGCTCCCCAACCCCCTGATCGGCCCTGCTCGGTGGGTGATAGAGGGTAGCGCCCCAACCCCCCTCCATGGGCCCTGCTCTGTGTGTGATGGGATAGAGCCATAACCTCCCCATCGGCCCTGTCCTGAATGTGACAGTGGTGGCACCCCAACCCCCTGATCCGCCCTGCTCTGTATGTGACAGGGTAAGGAGCCCCAACCCCCTTGATGGGCCCTGCTCTGTGCATGACAGGGGGTGGCGCCGCAACCTCCCCATCGACCCTGCCTTGAGTGTGACATGGGGCGGTGCACCAACCCCCCAATCGGCCCTACCCTGAGCATGACTGAGGGTGGCATCGCAACCTCCCAATCCGCCCTGCTCTGTGCATGACAGGGGGCGGCGCCCCAACTCCCCAATCGGCCCTGCTCTGTGCGTGACAGGCGGTGGCGCAGCAACCTCCCCATCGACCCTGCCTTGAGTGTGACAGGGGGCGGTGCCCCAATCCCCCAATCGGCCCTGTTCTGAGCCCGACCAGGGGCTGCACCTAGGGATTGGGCCTGCCCTCTGCCAGCCAGGAGCAGGCCTAAGCCAGCAGGTCATTGTCTCCGAGGGGTCCCAGACTGCGAGAGGGCACAGGCCGGGCTGAGGGACCCCTCCCTCCCGAGTGCACAAATTTTTGTGCACCGGGCCTGTAGTATATATTTATGTATTTGTGTGTGTGTGTGTGTGTATGTATGTATATATACACACACTAGAGGCCCATTGCAGGAAGATTCCTGCAAGAATAGGACTTCCTGCGGCTGGAGCGAAGCAGAGAAGGGAGCGAAACCCTCTGAGGCAAGCTTCCCTCCTGCCCCGCTGCCCGGCTGGTTTCCCTCCCGCCTCCGCCGCCTTGGCTCTGTTCCTGTCTCCACCACCTCTATTTTGCTCCCTTCTGCAGCACTTCGCTTCCACGTTGTCTTCAGTCTTCGCTCCCAGCCGGTATATGCAAATTAACCGCCATCTTGGTTGGGTTAATTTGCATATTGGCTGATTGGCTGGTGGGCATAGTGAAGGTATGATCAATTAGCATCTTTATCTTTTATTAGTGTAGAATATATATATGTATCTTTGTTTATAAATTCATGTATGAATGTTTGTCTATAAATTCATCCACACAAACGTGCTTATCTGTTTTTAAATTTTTTCCTAAAAGTGGTCATATTTCCTGAATTCTAAGATGCTATTAATTGAAGGACAAACCATAACTGTTGTTAAATGTATGCGTATTGGATGTATTCTAACTAAAGAAATGTTAAAATAAGTGTATCTGAGAACCTGGAACATCTATTGTCTGGTACTTAAGAGCTGTCAAGTATTCATTCCTGGTGATGGTATGATGATTTGGGTTTTTTTGATGAATGTTTTTAGTCTTGCTGAAAAACTAGAATTCCCCGTTCCCCACTGATAATTGAACATACACTGCTCAGATTGGTATTTGAGAATTTCCCTTTGTTCCCACTTGCCTTCAACCTGAGTTGTCTCTCTCTCTTTCACCTTGATATTCTATCTAGTTCTTTCAGGCCATGGCCCATCTCAGGCTCACACTTTCTTTCTTCCTTGAAATTTGATAGGTGATTTGTAAACCAGTTACAATGGGCCAGTACTGTCCAAAAGAAACATGTAAACTATATGTGTAATTTTAAATTTCCTAGTAGTCACATTTAAAAAAAAACAGAATTAGGTGAAATTCATTTTGATATATTTCATTTAATCATATAAAATATTATTTCAACAATTAATATAAAACATGAGATTTGGGGTATTTGGTACTAAGTGTGTAAAATCTGATAAGTATTTTACACTTACTATGTATCTCTATTTGGAATAAGCACATTTCACATGCACCATGACCACATGTAGTTAGTAGCTTATGAAAGAAGAAATGGGGATAATGTGAGCTTCTGTTCATCCCTCGGAAAATGCTCAAGAGTCATCAGTTAAAATGCTCTGTTGCTAGTTATAAGTAGAAATTTAAAACCTTAGAAATCAGATATATGTAATAGAAATGTAAGATAACTGAAATTAAAAACAAAGCTAACATTCAGCGACTTTTCTTAAATAATGTAAATTATGTAATGCTTTGAATAGATTATATCTTTTCTGTAGGGTTTTTTTGTGTTTTTTTTTTAAATATATTTTTATTGAGTTCAGAGAGGAAGGGAGAGGGAGAGAGAGATTGAAACATCAATGATAAGAGAGAATCATTGACCAGCTGCCTCCTGCACATCCTCTACTGGGGATTGAGCCCGCAACCTGAGCACATGCCCTTGAGCGGAATCAAACCTGGGACCCCTCAGTCCAGGCCGACACTCTATCCCCTGAGCCAAACAGGCTAGGGCTCAGCAACTGTTTTTTAGTGTCTCTCTCTGTAGTCCTATAATTTATATAAGAACTTAAAAAAACTATACTAATTTCCAAAATAAATAGTAATACACTTGGAAAAACCAGTTAGAATGATCAGTTTAGGGAGAATCAGTATGTTAAATGTGGTTCTTGCTCTATTTCCACTTAAATGCTAAAGAACAGTTGTTAAATGAAATTTCTGAGAGTCTGCACATATACACGGTTTAAATGAGTCATTGCATACATCCTTGTCTAATACACATGAAAACCAATCACTGGTAAAGTGGGTTCTCTTGTCTTATATTTGTGAGACTTGCCATTCTAAAACTAAACTCTCTATTTCCTAACAATCTTCCACCACGAGTTTGCTATCTGGTGTAGTAGGGGGGGGAAATCAGCCTGTCTTCACAGTGTTCGTGACTTTTTAATGAACTTACTTGATTTTATTTTTGCATTAGCAATAATGGACTAAGACCTGGGGAAGAAAAGGTGCTCCTCTATCCTGGGTTCTGTTAGGTATATTGCTGTGGTGGTGCTAAACTAGTTGTGCTTCAGCATTTTACTTAGGCAAAATATGAATGGTACACAAGTCCTGGTTTCATTTGGTTCAATATGATTTATTCTTGTTTCCTTTGGAATTCTGAGTTGAGAGGGTGTCATCCTCTTGCTTCCTTTTGTACTTCATCGTGCCTTTTTCTCTGCCTTTGGTTGATGGACTGACTGCACAGTTGAAGTCAGAGCAGGCGGTATCCTTTTGAGAGGTGTAGGAAAGTACCCTATTCAGCCTACTTGGTGGGAAGGCCAAATTGAATTTGTAAAATTCCTGCATTACAAAGAAATATAAGTTACAGGAGATGGTTTTTAAACTAATTTCAGGATAAGAGAATTATATCTCAGCCTATCCGTTGTCTATATTTTATTCTAAAAGTTTAGCAACAATTTTAATAAATTGAAATACTTCTGACAGGCTTTTTAGCCCATTTCCCCCCTTCATATTATAAATTAGTAGAAGTGACATATGTCAGGATTCCTCTTTAAAAATGCTTTTAGGTACCGCAGTGTTTACGTACTTGCTTGGTTGGAAATGATGAATTCCTGTTCTGGCTTTGTCTTCTTTTTTTCTAATTGTTTTCATGTTTGACTAAAATGTGGAAGTAATAATACCGTTTTATGTGTGTAAAATATTTTACGGATTGTCTGTTGGGAAAACAGTAATGCCTAAAGATAAACTCAAATCAACTATAGATAAAACAACCCAAGTTCCATTTCTGCTATTCTCATCTTTAAAGAAATTCTATATGGTGCCAGTCACATGATATAGTAATACAAAGGAAAGAATCTGTTCAAGGCACTATTAAGGGCTAAAATTATAGCATATTGAATGTGAGTCTTCATGACTAACAAATTTTACTCTTCTATCTTTAGCTAGTTATGTTTCACATTTATTTCAGTTATCCTTCTTGATAGGAAACACATTGCTGTATTGGCAACATGCAGTGTTCCGTAAGTATCTCATACAAAACTCTCCTATTCAGAACACTGATGGCATAAGATGAAATGGCGTTTCCTGTTGACTTGTGGATTATGATGACTTCCATCTTTGCAGGCATTGGGATGGATACTTGTGTCATTCCTTTGAGGCATGGTGGTCTTTCCTTGGTGCAAACCACAGATTACATTTATCCTATCGTCGATGACCCTTACATGATGGTAAGTTTGACTTAATATGTTTTTACATCTCAAACTGCTGTTCAGTTGGTTTTGGGTTGTGGCTGGGTATGTGTGTGTGTGTGTGTGTGTGTGTGTGCGCGCGCGCGCGCGCGCCCCTGCGCTTATCCTATCTAATAATAGAGAAACATGGTAATTAACCATAACTTCACTACCCTTCCCATTGGCTAATCAGCGAGATATGCAAATTAACTGCCAACCAAGATGGGGGCCGGCAGCCAGGCAGCTGAAGCGAACAGGAGGCTTGCTTGCTCCAGTGATAGAGGAAGCCAAGGTTCCCCGCCTGCCGCTGCCGGCCTCTGAGCTTACACTCTAAGAAACATTGTTGCAATTATAGAAGTTAAACAAGCTCCAGAAACCTGCTTTCAGCCCGCAGAGCTGGAGCAAGCAGGACCGAAACAGTGTTACAATTATAGAACCCAAACAAACCAGATACCTGCTTTCTGCAGCCGAGGTCTCAGGGCTGGAGCCGAGCCTCAGAGCTAAATCTGGCTCTCAGCTCCAGTGACAGCCATAGAAGGTAAATAAATCCCAGAATAAAAAAAGAAAAAAAGGAGAGGTTGGGAGCTTCAGTCACCCATCAGCCTGAAAACGGCCCTCAGCCCCTCACCCAGACTGGCCAGGCACCCCAGTGGGGACCCCCACCCTGAAGGGGGTGTGATCAGCTGCAAACAGCCATCAGCCTGTCACCCAGGCTGGCCAGGCACCCCAGTGGGGACCCCCACCCTGAAGGGGGTATGACCAGTTGCAAACAGCCATCATCCCCTCATCCAGGCTGGCCAGGCACCCAAGCGGGACCCCCACCCTGATCCGGGACACCCTTCAGGGCAAACCAGCCAGCCCCCACCTGTGCACCAGGCCTCTATCCTATATAGTAAAAGGGTAATATGCAAAATGACCCTAACAGCAGAAGAACTGGGAATGACTGGTCACTATGACACACACTGACCACCAGGGTGCAGACGCTCAATGCAGGAGCTGCCCTCTGGTGGTCAAGGCGCTCTTCCATGGGAGGAGCTCTGCTCAGCCACAAGCCAGGCTGATGGCTGCCAGTACAGCGGTGGTGGTGGGAGCCTCTCCTGCCTCCTCAGCAGCGCTAAGGATGTCCGACTGCAGTTTAGGCCTGCTCCCCGCTGGCAAGTGGACATCCCCCAAGCGCTGCCGGGCTGCCAGAGGGATGTCTGATTGCCATCTTAGGCCCAATCTCCCGGGGAGCGGGCCTAAGCCAGCAGGTGTTCATCCCCTGAGGGGTCCCAAATTGCGAGAGGGCACAGGCCGGGCTGAGGGACCCCCCCCCACACCACCACCACTGCACAAATTTTTGTGCACCAGGCCTCTAGTTTTTTTATATTCAAATTGTTCTCATCCCACCACTGATCTGACTCCTGCAACTGCAACCATTTGATCTGTTTCCTGCTCACCTTTGGTATTGCATGTGAGCAATTAGGCAGAAATTCCTCTGCTTCTTTTGTGCAAGAACACCTGCTGTCTACTAACTGTCTGTTGACTGGCATGTTTGTAATTTTTTTTCTTTCTTCGATATTTGTAAACCCCTCATTCCTGTGCTTCAGGCCAGAGATGTTGCCATACCCTGTATAGGTCTAATCCTAGATCTTTCCGTCCAGAATAGAGCTCATCACAATTTAACTTCTTGACCATTTATTCTGATTGTAGGCATTCTCACCCCCAATTGTGTTATATACTCACTGTGTAGAAGATTTTTGAACTGCTGGATCCAAGTTCCTGTGTGCCAAGGGCACTAGGATCAAGCTGCTCACAGAGAGACTTGGGCCATGAGGCAGCTAAATGGGGGTGGGGGCGGGGTGCCAGTGACAGGCACACAGGTTAATAGAAACCTGTTTTCCCTCCACACATCCATCTGTTCTCTCCTCTAAAGCAGTATTCCTGAGAGGCTGAGGTATGCCACACCCCAGGTGTCCCACCTGACCAGGTGGCAAAAGTAGCTCGAACCAGAATTCATCCCTTTTCCAGCATCTCCTAAAAGCATCCGAGAGAACCCACTGTAGCCCTAACTAGCACTTGGCACCCAAGTTGTAAACCACTTGTTGCCTCGGTTAAAAGAAGGTACAAAAATTTCTCCATCCAAGTGTATAGAAATCATCTTCTATAATCAGTAAAGTTCACATTTTTTTTTTTTTTTTTCAGAATCTGTTTAGGATAAGTGGCTGTTTCCAAGTTTGCTTTCAGATACATGTTTTCACTCCACAGCTCTTCCTCCCAGACTATCCCTCCAACCTTGCTCCCCCTGACATCTTCCCACTCCCCATTTTCCATCTAAATAAACTGTAGCCTTCTCCCAGTGTTTAGAATGGGAATTGCCTGAGAAAGAAGGGTGGGAACGGGAATAACTTGGAAAAAGTGAATGGCTTAGTGGTTCTGTGATTAAGGATAGGTAACCAGTCTGCAAATCACAGAAACAGGACCCCATCCCAGTAGCTGCTATTCCTGGAAAGTACCTGGGTTCTCTTGGGAGGTATTCTGTAGGCTCCCTTTGTTTCAACACATGGGAAGTCCCCATCCTCCTCTTGCCCTTTTTCATGTTTCTGCTTTCTTCCAGGGCAGGATAGCATGTGCCAATGTACTCAGTGACCTCTATGCAATGGGGGTCACAGAATGTGACAATATGCTGATGCTCCTTGGAATCAGTAATAAAATGACCGATAGGGTAAGTAGGAGATGGGCCAGCTGCTTACTGTCTGTTGTCTTGGTCACTTCACTTGGCTGGTCAGCCCTTCTTTTCCCATCTGTAAAGTGAGGAGCCCAGGCTGCATGGCTTCCATATTTCATCCTTTTCTCCACTTTTTGGCAGTTATTAGTGAATTAAAGTAGTCTGGCCTATTCATGCTTTCATTTCCACCACCTGCTTCCCTTTCTTCTGGGTAGACTAAAGCCAAGACATTTAGGTTTGTTTTAAAATCTAGGCCACAGTAATAGCACCTTCATGCCAGGCCTGTGGACTGGACTAGCTTTAGAGACCCAGGGCATGCGGCCCCCGCAAGGGCCAGGCCCTTTGGTTGCTGGTTGGACACTGATGTAAGACAGTGATGGGGCTGGGGTGTCACGTGTATTTCCGTGCTTACCTGGCAGTATCTATAGCCTTGCTACCTGTACCTGTTCTCTGACCCAGAGATGAATTCTCTCTTAGATTATTTTTGAAAGGTACTTGTTTTTGTCCCCCAAAAAAGTTTGTCCTGCCTCTTAGAAAAGAGAGTTTTCAGTAGGCCCTTTTCTGCCAGCACAAATGTGCATTTGAGCCATTGTTTGCACACAGCCCTTTGGGGGAGGGTGGTGGGTGCATATTAAATGAGTCTTGGAGTTCCTAAGGACCATTTAAAGAGTTGGCTTAGATTTCGGGTAGCCCTGAACACCCAATCACATTCCAGTTTTTATTTCTCTGTTGTCCGGGCTTCATTCACATTGTAACCTGGAATATCTTCCAGCTCTTGATAAAATGGCTAGTGTAAACTATTCCATCTGCCTTTCTTATTGCCTGTACAGTCTGTGAACTTTAAGGACATCCATTAGGGTTTTATGATCCTCTTTATAACTACAAGTGTAGACTCTTTTCTTGGTTTTGAACTGAATTATGTGACTTTTACTTTGTGTCCTTTTAAACCCTAGGAAAGGGATAAAGTGATGCCCCTAATTATACAGGGTTTTAAAGATGCAGCAGAGGAGGCAGGAACGTCTGTAACGGGTGGACAAACAGTGTTAAACCCCTGGATTGTTTTGGGAGGAGTGGCTACAACTGTCTGCCAGCCCAATGAATTCATCATGTAAGTTGGTTTTGTTCCATGTCACCTGGCATGGTTCTCTTTCTTTTCTTAAGATAGATTCATTGAGATATAATTTGCATACTATAGAATTCACCCATTTAAAGTATATAGTTCAATGGCCTTTGGTAATATTCACAGTTTTGCAACCAATACCAGGGTCGATTTTAGAGCATTTTCATCACTCCAACAAGAAACCCCATTGCCCTTAGCTGTCCTGGCTTCTATTACTTTACATAATATTAGCATAATATTTTTAAGGTTCATCCATTTTGTAGCATGTATCAGTATTTGACTTCTGTTTTTTAAAGTTATTAGTATTTTTAATTGAAGTATAATACATATAGTGAAATTTTATATAATATAAAACCCAGTATTTTAAAGTATAGAATTCATTGTTTTTGTGTGTGTTCACAAGATTGTGTAACCGTTATCACTATCCAATTTCAGAATATACCGATCAATTCTCCCCCCAACCCCACCCCCAAAGAAGTCCTATATCCATAAGCAGTCACTCCCAATTCCCTTCTCCCTCCATTCTCTGGAAACCACTGATCTACTTCCTGTCTCTGGATTTGCCTATTCTAGGCATTTCATTAGATAGAATCATATAATATGTGGTGTTTTGTGTCTGGCTTCTTTAGGCATAATGCTTTCAAGTTTCACCCATGTTGTAGTATGTATCAGTACTTCATTCATTTTTATGGCTGAATAATGTTCCATTGCATGGACATACCACAGTTTATTCGTAGGTGATAGATCTTTGGGTTTTTTTCCACCTATTTATGAATGATGCTGCTATGAACATATGTTTTGATTCTCTTCGGTATATATACCTCAGAGTTACTGGGTCATGTGGCAACTGTCAAACTGGTTCCCAGCAGCAATGTAGGAGGATTCCAATGTCTCCACATTCTCTCCACTATTTGTTACTGTTTTTATTTTATTTTTTCTATAATAGTTATCCTAGTGGGTTGAGGTGATACCCACAGTGGTTTGATTTGCATCTCCCTGGTGGTTAATGATATTGAGTACCTTTTAATGTGTTTTTTTTAGCCATTTCCTTTCCTGGAGACAACCATTTGTACCAGTCTTCAGTAATCTGAGTGCCAAATATGAAACTTATTACTGGTCAGTCTGAGTTTGAAACTTGATGCTGAAATCACCAAAACATTAGACCACCACAATTTGAGTCAAATCCCACAGCCTGAGAAACAATCTGTTTCAAAAATCTTATTGCCTCAGAAGCATGGTGGGTCTGTATTGAAAATTACACACTAGCTGGCTGAATCAGGGCCTGATCAGGCCTTTTGCCTTTGAAGGCTAAGTGATTTACTTTTTTATACATTTTATTGGAGGGCTGGATCTAATAGGTAATTGGCAGACCCTTCTATTCCCTTTCAGTGTTTTTGTTCCAGTAGTAGTAGCTTCAGTAGCAAGTTGCAAAGCTGCAACACTTGGTAGTTGTGGCTTAAATGTAAGTGCTTGCAAATGCACTGTTTTTTACCAGCCTTTTCTTTCTCCTGTTTAACTGATGATAAGTTCACCTTCTTGGTTCATTTGGCCAGACCATGCCCTTGTTCTTTTTTTTCAGGCCGGATAACGCAGTGCCTGGGGATGTGCTGGTTCTGACCAAGCCCCTGGGGACGCAAGTGGCCGTGGCTGTGCACCAGTGGTTGGATATTGTGAGTAGCCATGCCTGCGGCCGGGGAGCTGGGGGACTGAATAGAAGTTTTCAGGATTGTGGTAGTTTCCTTGTGGGATTTGGAGAAAAGGGCTTTCATTGCATTCAGATCACGTATCTCTTTAATCTAAGCTGTATCTGCTCCTGGAGTAAGTGCCACTTCTTATCCATACAGGAAGCCCTTGAACATGTTTTAACATGTTTCAGGTCTAGCTCTTCTAAATGTCACCAGCTTGTCCTCTAAAAAGGAGCTCCTTTAGTGTCACTGCCAGGGAGTTTAGTATCAGTCACGCCCTATAGAAATACTAGGAATTGTCCATGGTTGGTTTTTTTTATTAAATCAGGATATCATGTACTGAATACTTAAAGGAGGTAAGCCCCAGCTTGGGGCTTTAGCGAAGATTCATAAAGAGAATTTGTGAGGCAGTGAGTTTCCATTGTGATTACAACTCAAAAATTAATATGATTTGTGGTATATCTCACATATCTTGGTGCTTTTAATTTCTACAACTATCATCTGAAACTACCAGTCCTGATAAACAGTTAAAAAAGAAAAACAATTTTATGTTATTTATAACCAAGTATATGTTGGATTGATATAAAGAGTAGAGAACATCTCTAAGGCTGCCACAGTCTAGTCATTTTTCCCTTCTCATTCAGTGATGATGGGGAGATTTCTCATCAAGTAAGATCATCTGTAAATCTAATTGGAAGGCCATTACAGGGTAGTGATCCACAGAGTTGCTTTGCAATTCAGTCAGTCAGATCTGAGTAATTCAGCAAGGCAATCAGAAACAGGTGTGGCAGAGGGGCATAAAAAATGAGGGGTTTGGGATCTCTCCTCCCCACCTCACCCCCAAACTGACACCTCCTTTGCTTTTATACCTTGTTTTTTCAGTTTTGAGCATTAAAAAAAAAAGTTCCAAAGACTATGTAGCACAATACCCTTTTTATAAAAGTCAGAAGCAACCAAAGAGCATATTGTAGGCTTCTATATGTATGAGAATACTATTTTTTGAAAGAAAAGGGAATGACGAGTATAAAATTTAGAGCAGTTGTTACCTCTGAGGAAGAGTTGGGGAGCAGTGGGATTAGGAAGGAACACATAGACTTGTTATTGTATTTAGTGGTAGATTGTTGGGTATCATTAAAAGATAAATGAATGCATGTATGACTTATGGCCATTAATGGACCATGATGACAATCTATCACGAACCCGTAATCATGCCCTGGCCTGTTTGGATCAGTGGTTGGAGTATCGGCCCACGGACTGAAGGATCGAGGGTTCAATTCCTGGTCAAGGGCACGTACCTGGGTTGCAGGTTCTCCAACCCTGGTAGGGACGTGTGCAGGAGGCAACCAATCGATGTGTCTCTCTTACGTTGATGTTTCTCTTTCTCCTTCTCTCCCCCTCCTCCCTCCTTTCCTCTCTAAAAAATCAATGGGAAAAAATATCCTCTGGTGAGGATTAAAAAAAAAAAAAGAACCCATAATCATGGTGCTGGCTTCTTTGAAAATCAACTGAGGAAAAAGGGAAACACCTTTTTCTCCTTCCTTTTATGATACATCCTTTGTGGTTACTATGACTGTCCTTAGTGCTAATGCAATCAAAGTTGCTTTCCCCATTCATTTGTCTGTAAGATGCTTTGATCCAGACTTAGGTAAAGTCAATAACAGTATAATTATATGAAAAATAAAGCCATCAGATTTATAGGAGAGATGGAGAGGCAAACCAAAGGACATTCGAAGCTATTCATGTGAGATCTACACCCTACCACAGAGAAGCTGCCCATGCAACACCTTTTATGGCGTGCGCACTGCAGGCATATGTCCTGCTGCTTTTACTAGCCAATAAATTGCAGTATAGTATTTGACTGCAGAAATGTGGGTCAAGAACACAAAAGATACCTCAGTGATATGTTTAATGGACACCTAAAATAATAGTTCCGGGGCGGGGGTGAGGGGGAGTTAGAAAATTTAATTTTGCGTACAAAATTAGAAAAGTAAAATTCCCTATAGGTTGACTAGAGAAAAATGGGCTTTTTCTTTCAGTCCTTAGAAGTAAAGGTTAATCACATTCTTCCACCCCCCTCTTTTCTCCCTCACCTATGTTCCTATATTAGCCTGAAAAGTGGAATAAAATTAAACTAGTGGTCACTCAAGAAGATGTGGAGTTGGCATACCAGGAGGCGATGATGAATATGGCAAGGCTCAACAGAACAGGTATCGGGGCGGAAGGTTGTCTGTTGCAGGGGTCGGCAAGTTTTCAGAACAGGGTCAAGATGGGAAATATTTAGGCTTTACAGGCCACATACAGTCTCAGAAGACCATTCTTAGCTGGAGGAACATATCATGGCCCAGATTGGGCCAGTGACTGCAAATCCTCCTGTATTGGTCCCTGGTTTTGGACACCTTTGGGATTGAGAGCAGTATATACATGTATTTGTTATATGTGTTTCCTTTCAGCCAAAGGGGGAAGACAGGATCCTATTCATAGGATATTAAAAAGAAAAAATGTCAATGAAGTACCAAAAAGAGTGACTAGCATGTGGTGTACAAAGTTCTCTTCACTCAGTTTCTATTTAATGAGCACCTATAGTGTGTTTTCACTCTTCCAAGTGCTAGGGAGACTGCAATGAACAAATAGACAAAAGTCCCTGCTCTCTTAGAGCTTACATTCTAAAGGCTGGTTTGAGCCTGGCTGGTGTGGCTCAGTTGGTTGAATGTTGTCCCATGCACCAAGAGGTCACTAGTTTGCCCTGGCCGATGTGGCTCAGTGCTTAGAGCATCGACCTCCACACTGAAGAGTCGCAGGTTTGATTACTGGTCAGTGGCATGTATCTGGGTTGTGGGTTCCATCACTGCTACCTGCAGAGGCAACCAATCCATGTGTCTCTTACATCAATGTGTGTGTGTGTCTCTCTCTCTCTTCCCCCTTCCCTCACTCCCATCACTATCTCTACAAAGCAATGGGGAAAAAAACCCTCAGGTGAGGACTAACCAAAGAACGGTGCCAGTTTGATTCCCAGTCAGGGTACATGCCTGGGTTTCTCTCTCATCAATGTTCCTGTCTTCCTCTCTCCCTAAAAAAAGCATTAAAACATTTTATTTTTTAATTTATTTTAAAAACGTTTTTATTTATTTTAGAGAGAGAGGAAAAGAGAGGGGGAGAGAGCGGATAGAAACATTGATGAGAGAGAAACTGATAGGCTGCCTTCTGCACGCCCACTCCTGGGGGCTGAGCCTGGCATGTGCCCTGATCGGGAATCAAACCAGTGACCTCCTGGTGCATGGGTTGATGCTCAGCCATTGAGCCACACTGTCTGGGCTCAATAAAACATTTAAAAAAATTGTTTTAAGGCTGGTTTGTTTCCTAATTATCTGTACAGAGCAACCCACACAGGTGTTTCTCTAATAATAAAATATGTGCAGGGCTTAAGGAACAGCAATGTAACATCCATGTGCCTACCATCTCATATGAGAAACACAGTGTGGCCTTGGAAGCCCGTAGGTGCCCCTCACATTCAGTTTGTAGGTTCCTGCTTAGGGGTAACCATTGTTCTGAATCTAATGTTTATTCTCATGCTTTTAAAGTTTTTATCACATAGACTTGTATTCTTAAGCAGTAAATTAGTTTTGCATTTTTTGTTTCATTGAATCATATCTGTATCTGTTTTTCTTGCTGTTTACTGTTTAATGTTCCTGAGCATTATCCCTGGTGTGTGTACCTGTATTTCCTTCATTATCTCCACTGTGTATTTTTTCACTCTGTGACTTACTTATCTGGCCACCTGCTTTTGGGCATTTGGGTTGCTGCTGAAAACTTTTCTTGGTAAATAGTGTGCTACGTTTAAAAAAATTCTTTAAAATGTTTTCTCTTCCTGTTTATTATATATATTTTTTCTGTAAAAAAAAAAAAAAAGTTCATTATGGAAAAGTTTTTAGAAAATGAAAAAAAGAAGAGAAAAAAACATTGTCCATAGTCCCTGCCCCCCAAACGGCTTCTGTTAATATTTTTATGTATTCTTCTGGGATTTTTTTCTGTTTGGTTGGTTAGTGGTTTACTTTTGTTTTATTGTTAATATTTTAAACTTGTGGTTGAACATTTTTTTTTTTTAAATATATTTTATTGATTTTTTACAGAGAGGAAGGGAGGGGGATAGAGAGTTAGAAACATCGATGAGAGAGAAACATCGATCAGCTGCCTCCTGCACCCCCCCTTACTGGGGATGTGCCTGCAACCAAGGTACATGCCCTTGACTGGAATCGAACCTGGGACCCTTCAGTACCCAGGCCGACGCTCTATCCAGTGAGCCAAACCAGCTAGGGCATGGTTGAACATTTTATATGTGTTTGGAATCTGCTTTTATATATTTAACTAGAGGCCCAGTGCACGAAATTCGTGCAGGGGGTGGAGGTGTGTCCCTCAGCCCAGCCTGCACCCTCTCCAATCTGGGATCCCTCTCACAATCCAGGACTGCTGGCTCCCAACCCCTCACCTGCCTTCCTGCTTGATTGCCCCTAACCACTTCTGCTGCCAGCCTGATCTCCCCCCAATCACTTCCCTGCCAGCCCGATCGATGCCTAACTGCTCCCCCGCTGGCCCAATTGCCCCTAACTGCCCTCTCCTGCCAGCCTGGGTCCCCCCCCAACTGCCCTCCCTTTCAGGCCTGGTCCCTCCCAACTGCCCTCCCCTGCAGGCCTGGTCACCCCTAACTGCTCACCCCTGCTGGCCTGGTCCCCCCCAACTGCCCTTCCCTGCAGGCCTGGTCCCCCCCAACTGCCCTCACCTGTCGGCCATCTTTGACCACATGGGGGTGGCCATCTTGTCTGTTGGAGTGATGGTCAATTTGCATATTACCTCTTTATTAGATAGGATATTACTAACACTTTTTTCTACATTATAATTCTAGTACACATAGCTTTTAATGGCTAAATGTTCTATCAGAGAAATATATCATAGTTAATTTATCTTTTGCCTACTTTTGAGCAATTGATTTGGAGATAAGATTTTTTCCCATAAATTTTTTTCCTGTATTCCAGGAATAGTTTTTTGACTATATTCCAACATTGAATAGTAATTATTTAATTCTTTGTCCTCAGATGCCTCAGCACTTACAACCAAGGATTTTCATTTCTTCCTGTGTCACTTAAACTATTTAAGGAGTGTTTTTCCTTTTTTGTCCTTCAAATTGAGTAATTTAACAGTGGGAAAGTGATTGGTAGTGGATTTATTTTTACCTGTATTTATGTTTCCCCATCCTTATTTTTTATATGTTGTTGGTAGGGATAAACATGGCAGAATGCTTGTGGAGGAATATTTGGTAATACCTAGCAAAAATTAAGCATACATTTATTTGACCTATCAGTCCCACTTCTGTGAATGTCACAAAGTTACAATGGCCAAAATATAAAATGACGTATACAAGGCCATTCATTGAAGCACTATCTAGAATTGCTCAAACAATCCACATGCCCTTGGATGGGTAGCTGAATTATCTAGTCTGTATTTACACATGTAGCTTGAAAAGGGATGAGAGGTCTTTATTACTAGGGAGCTATCTTGGATATGAGTAACTGATAAAAGCAAGGGCAGAATGATGTATACAGTATGCTATATTTTGTGTATTCATATGACTATGAAGTAATGAGTGTTTTATACTTTCAAAAAGAAGCAATGGAAACAGATCATTAGTAAAAATTGTTACATATAAGGAATTAGGGAGGAAGCAGAATCTGAACATGCATTGTTTTATAAGTTTGACTTTGGAATTTTTTATGTCATTTTCTATAGGTTAAAATTTTTAATTAAAAATAATAAAGTAACTATCTGGTTAGGCTGAGAATCTTCCAAATAAAAAAAAAATTTTTTTTTAAATGAAAGAGCACATCTTACAAATCCAAACCACTTTTTTTTTAAGTTGCCTAATATATACCAACTTAATGACAAAACCACGTGGGGAAGAATTATATGAAAGAATCTAAGTAAAAATTGTAATCTTTAATTTGGAATTATCAATAAAAACTCAGCATTATTTTCCCCTCTAAAATGCTATTGCCCTAGTTGGTTTGGCTCAGTGGATAGAGTGTCAACCTGGGGACTGAAGGGTCCTGGGTTTGATTCCAATCAAGGGCACGTACCTCGATTGCAGGCTCAAACCCCAGGCCTGGTCAGAACTCGTGCTGGAGGCAACCAATCGATGTGTCTCTCTCACATCATTGTTTCTCTGTCTCTCCCCCTCCCTTCCACTCTTTCAAAATCAATGGAAAAATATCCTTGAGTGAGGATTAACAAAAAACAAAAACTTACTTCCAAGTCTTATCGAAAAGGTCTGAAGCAATGATAACCCGTTAGTAATGAATACCTACTGCCATCATTCTGATCTGAAAATTATCATTTTCCACAAAAAGTGCTAGGATTCCTGGGGGAAATGGCTGATTCTAACGGACTAGAAATACAAAAGATAAGCCTAGGACATCCTATGCCTGAAAGTAATGGTGTTACCAACAGCTGTTGTTACGTCACTTCACATAACTCAGAGGTGCCCACCAGTCAAATTGGAAGGGCTGGGCAACGTGAGTATTAAGAAGAGTGACACAGTCAGTTAAGTAGATCAAGGATCTAAAAATCAATGACATCATAGAGATGAAAATGTTTTTGGTCACATTTGGAAGTTTCTGGGCACCAACTTGTTTGAAAATAAATAAAAGGAACCAACCACACATTTTACTGTTCCTGTATAGGCTGTGCTTTGGGGAAAAGCAAATACATTTTTAAAAAATTCTTTATAGAAGAGTCACATCTAATAAATGCAGGAAGAATGATTGAATTACATATTTGCTATTTTTTTGCTATCCCTTTGATGTAGTAAACATCAGTGGCAGCTAAAACTACAGTCATCAAGACGGTGTGATATTGGTGAAAGAATAGAAAAACATATCTAGCCATAGTTGGTTTGGCTCAGTGGATAGAGCGACAGCCCGTGGACCAAAGAGTCTCGGGTTCAATTCTGGTCAAGGGCACGTACCTCAGTTGCAGGTTTCTCCCCAGCTGGGGCCCTGGTCAGGGTGCATTCAGGAGGCAACCAATCAATACGTTTCTCCCACATCAGTATTTCTCTCTGTCTTTCCTCTCTCTTCCACACTCTCTAAAAATGGGAAAATATCTTCAAGTGAGGATACTAGAGAGTCCAGAAATAGACTCCCATAAGTATAGTTAACTAATCCTTGACAAAAGAGCAAAGGTAATTCAGTGGAGAAAGGATAATCTTTTCAACAAATAGTGCTGAAACAACTGGACATTTACAGGCAAAAAATGATTATAGACACAAGCCTTATACCTTTCATAAAAATTAACTCAAAATGGATTATAGACCTAAATGTAAAATGCAAAACTGGTGAACTCCTAGAAGATAACAAGAAAATTAGGTGACCTGGGGTTTGGTGATGCCTTTTAGATACAACACCAAAAGTACTATCCATAAAAGAAAAAAATTGAAGTTGGATTTCATTCATACAAAGAACTTCTGTGAATGACACTAAGAGAATAAAAAGGCAAGCCACAGACTTGAAGAAAATCTTTGCAAAACACAATTCTGACAAAGGACTGGTATTCTATGTAATTAGCGAATGGCAATTTAAAACAAGATACTACTACATGCCTACTTAAAAGGCTAACACTGACAATACCAAATGTTGACAGCGATATGGAGCAATGGGAACTCTCATTCCTTGCTGATGGGAATGCAAAATGGAGCAACCACTTTGGAAGCCAGTTTGGCGGTTGGTTACAAAACTAAATATACTATTATCCAGCAGTTGTGCTCCTTAGTATTTACCCAAACGAATGGAAAATTTCTGTCCACTCAGAAATCTGCACAAGTTGTTTGTCACAGCTTTATTTATAATTATTAAAACTTGAGAGGAGATCCTTCAGTAAGTGAATTGATAAACTGGTGCATCCAAACAATGGAATATTATTGACAGCTAAAAAGAAATGAGCTGTTACGACATGAAAAGATTTGGAGGAACCCTACACATATTACTAAGTGATAGAAGCCAATCTGAAAAGATCAAGCACCATAATTCCAACTATATGACATTCTGGAAATGGTAAAACTACAGACAGTAACAAGATCAGTGGTTAGCAAGAGTAAGAGAGAGGGATGAATAGGTGGAACACAGGATTTTTAGGGCAGTGAAACTTATCTGTATGATAATGTAATGATGGATACACGTTACATATGCATTTATCAACACCTACTGGTATAGACATCAAGAGTGAACCCCAATGTGAACTATGAAATTCAGTTAATGTATCAAGATTGGCTCATCACATAGCAAATGTACCACACTAATGGTAAATATTAATAGGAGAAAGGGGGTATATGGAAACTTCTGCACTTTCCACTCAATTTTCTATAAACCTAAAACTCCAGAAACAGAATTTTTTTAAAATTAGAAAATAAGAAATTAGCCTGGCCGGTGTGGCTCAGTGATTGAGCATCAACCTATGAACCAGGAGGTCGAAGTTCAATTCCTGGTCAACACTTGCCCAGGTTGCAAGCTCAATTCCCAATAGGGGCTTTGCAGGTGGCAGCTGATTGATCAGTGATGCTCATCTTTGGTATTTCTCTCCCTTCCCCTTCCTTTCAAGTAAGAAATTAACTTTCCACTTACAGCGAGATTGCCTGGAATTCAGGTCAGTCTTTAAAAGTCCTGTTTGCCCTGGATGGTATGGCTCAGTTGGTTGGGCATTGTCCTGTGCACCAAAAGGTTGCCAATTTGATTCCTGATCAGGGCCCATATGCCTGGGGTGCTGGGTCGATCCCCCAATAGGGGGCGTGCAGGAGGCAGTTGATTGATGTACTCTTGCACCAATGTTTGTTCCTCTCCCTCTCTTTAAAAATCAATAAGTTGTGCTTTAAAAAAAAGTCCTCCTCTTTGATTTTAGGATGGTTTAGACAGGCTTACCTTTTGTTGTGATTGTAATTTTTCCATACAGATTTTTTAGCTTACTAAGAAGTTACTGTTAATTGAAGCAGCTGATAGTTCTAAGTGGTTGAAATTGAAATAAACTTTTACAATTTCTGTATGGATTTTGTTGATTTTTCAAAATTACATTTTCATTTTGATATGCCAATCTCCCTGACAATTAGGAATTTTGAGATCAAAGTGTATTTAAGATTTTGACTTGAGGAAAGATGGGGTGATTTTGTTTGTTTTTCTCAGAAAGTCTCCATTTATTACACCAGATAATAAATTTCTTTTCTGGTCTCTTAGCTGCTGGACTCATGCACACGTTCAATGCCCACGCTGCCACTGACATCACTGGCTTTGGAATTCTGGGCCACGCACAGAACCTGGCTAAGCAGCAGAGGAACGAGGTGTCCTTTGTGATTCACAACCTCCCTGTTCTGGCCAAGATGGCTGCTGTGAGCAAGGCCTGCGGAAACATGTTTGGCCTCATGCATGGGACCTGCCCGGAGACATCAGGTACAAGGATCCTGGGCCCAAATCTGAGGATTAGAAATTAGTGAGGCTAATGGAGAGTTTCATGAGAAAGAAGAAGCCAAACACATGGGCATGACCCCGTTTTGTGTGAGGTCAGTGCTGATAACCTTGGTGGTCTTAGCAACAGATGTTCTCAGCCCCTTTGTGCTGTAGTTACCAATCTCCCGCCATCCTGTGTGCGATGGAGCAGTCTTGTTTAAGTCCATTGTTCCCTGTGTTTGGTGACAGAATGGGAAGAAGGAAGATTATGGGAAAAAATAAGTCACTACTCAGTTTTCATTGGAAACCTGGCATTTAAAATAATTAATAATCATAGTTTACACTGAACAGGCTGTTTTTTCCTTGGGGGTAAAAAAAAGTCTAAAATTGCTTTAACAGTGAAATCGTATAGTATGTTTCCAAAATGCCATTTTTTCTTTTGACCCATTTTTCTCCCCCCTTCACTCTTGTATTTTATCCTTTAAGTCATCCTTTTTTTTTTTCAGTCTCTTTTTTTTATTTTCTTTCCTTGATAATAGTAAAGTAGGTTTTCCAAACCCATATATGAAAAAATTGACAAAATCAGTTTACCTGTTTTTATAGATTTTTATAATTAAAATTAAGTATGTATGAAAAGTTTAACAGAAAAGTTTTCTATATGTATTACAGTAATTTTTAATTTATACTGAATAGGTCTAGTGAATGTGTACATTCACCAGTCACTGTGAGTAAACAGATGCTCACGGCTGGGGCATCTTAGCACACATGGGAGCATCGGCCCCAACATGTTAACACTGCTGGGCTGCCTGTGCCCAGCGTCAGTCCATGAGTCAGGAGATCACAGTTTGCTTCCAGGTCAGGGCACATATCTAGGTTGTAGGCTCGATCTCCAGTAGGGGGCGTGCAGGAGGCAGCCAATTGATGATTATCTCTGAACATTGATGTTTCAATCCCTCTTTTTCTCTAAAAATCAATAAAACTATTTTTTAAAAACTGCTGTATAAAGTCATGCTACGTGCTATGCAGTGTGATCACATGCTAGTCATTCACCAAGTGTTTATGAGCTATGACTCTTGGATTTCAATATGTAGACTGTAGTTGTAGACATATAATATTTATTTATGTCAGTGTTTTTCCCAACGTATGACCTATTTGCAAAAATTTGTTTTAAATAATAGTGAATTGCCCTAGATGGCTTAGCTCAGTGGATAGAGCATCGACCTGAGGACTGAAGGGTCCCAGGTTCCATTCTGGTCAAGGGCGAATGCCCGGGCTGCGAGCTCGATCCCCAGTAGGGTGCATGCAGGAGGCAGCCGATCAGTGATTCTCTCTCATCATTGATGTTTCTATCTCTCTCTCTCTCTCTCCCTTCCTCTCTGAAATCAATAAAAAATATTTTTAAAAATGAAATAAAGTAATAGTGAATTAATAACAACAAAAACCCCGTTAATTTAATTATAAGCAAATCTTAGTTAAAGCACTTTAAAATTAACAGAGTGTTAATTTTCACATATGACATACGGACCAGAAATTTTGTCCCTTAAATCCGAAGTCTGTTAAGTCAAGGTCCACAAAATGGAGGATTTATTGTACCTCAGTAATTTCCCTATCCTGGCAAAAGAGTTGAATTATCTAGGGATTATGCATGCCTAGCCATGGCTGGTGTGGCTCAGTTGGTTGGAGCATCATCCCATATACCAAAAGGTGGCGAGTTCGATTCCAGATCAGGGCACATACCCAGGTTGTGGGTTCCATCCCCAGTTGAAGCAGGTGCAGGAGGCAGCCAATTAGTATTTCTTACTTGGTTGGCTCTCTCCCTCTCCATCTCTCCCCCTCCCTCTCCCCCCTTCTTTCTAAAATCAATTAAAAAAATACACACACACACACACACACACACACACACCTAGACCTGTTCCCTAGGAAACCCAGTTCAGTCAGACGGGTGGGCATGGTCATCAATAATTATAACAGCTTCTCAAAAGATTCTGGAGTGCAGCCAGAGGCAGTGACCACAAAGCCTTGCTCACATGTCAGTCTTGTATGACCTATTTGCAGAAGGGTTGTGGTTCTCTGGTAAGTCTCTCAGTTTAATAGAAGATCCTGTCTTTAAGAAAGAAGCAAAGTCTGCTTCCTCTTCCCAAATGTGGCCTAAGGTGACCTCTAAAAATGGTTCACTATTCACTTCTCCCAGAAAACCCCACAAAACGATGCAATTCAAGAGGTTCAAATCTTCACGTTCACTTTCCATAAAGAGTGCTGAACTTTTGCCACACATACTTGAAAGTGCAGAGAGTAATGCTGAACTTAAGGGTTTAGATGTGGATTCTCTGGTAATTGTGCACATCCAGGTGAACAAAGCTCCCAAGATGGGGTGCAGAACTTATAGAGTAGCTTGTTCCTAAACCAGAAGAGGAGGTTGCACAGGAGAAAAAGATATCCCAGAATAAACTGAAGAAACAAAAACTTAGGGGCCAGGCCCTGGCTGGGTGGCTAAGTTGGTTGGATCAGAGTTCTGTACACCAAAAGGTGGTGGGTTCAATTCTGGTGAGGGCACATACCTAGGTTTTGGGTTCCATTCCCAATCAGAGTGCATACAGGAGGTAACATTGATGTTTCTCTCTCTCTCCCTCCCTCTCTAAAAGACAGTAAAACATATCCTCAGGTGAGGATTTTTTAAAAAGGAAACTTGTTTTTAATACATTTTTATTGATTTCTGAGAAGAAGGGAGGAGGAGAGAGAAATAGAAACATCAATGATGACAGAATCATGGATCAGCTACCTCCTGCACACCCCCTACTGAGGATCAAGCCTGCAACCTGGGCATGTGCCCTGACCTGGAATTGAACCGTGACCACTTGGTTCCACCGGCCAGGTGGAAGCTTATGTTTTTAAGTATTTCTTTCCCTGTGGTAGGAAAAAATAGCTACCACATATGTGATTGAGGCCTCAAACACCTACTCCTACACAGCAGTGGTTCACAAGTAAGTCATCTTCACAGTTTAAAGTTTGTTATTGTGTAAATGTTTTTTATTATAGAAGTTTTCCAATTAACAGTTTAATTACAGTTTAATCTGGAATAGATGAAGGCAGAACAGCACAGGCTTCATTGGAAGGGGCAGCTTGAAGATAGAAGTTCTTGGTTGAGCGTAGATCTACAAGATTTTTTTGGAAAGAGTGACGGAGAAACTGCTCACAGAGCATCACAACTAATGATAATCATTTTTTCTTTGCCAGGAGGCCTTCTAATCTGTTTACCACGTGAGCAAGCAGCTCGGTTCTGTGCAGAGATAAAGTCTCCCAAATATGGTGAAGGTCACCAAGCATGGATTATTGGGATCGTAGAGAAGGGCAACCGTACAGCCAGAATCATAGACAAACCCCGGATCATCGAAGTCGCACCACAGGTGGCCACTCAAAATGTGAATCCCACACCTGGTGCCACCTCTTAATCTAGACCGAAATAGCTATTTGGTTTTGTTTTTAAATAGATCTATTTCCTTTATCAGCATTTCAATTAAAGACTATAAACAATAACAACAAAATCTCATTGTGTCTACACATCTGGTGACCTGAGGTCTATTTGTGAATGGATGCAATTAATAAGATAAAATCCATTGCCTTTTTTTCCTGTTACATTAACTGAAGATGCACCTAATCTTGAGGCAGCTTCTGAGTTGAGAATTACATTGTTATCCAATACTGTTGATTCATTTTGAATCTTTAGACACTTATCTCTTGCCGCATAGGCCCTTTTTAAAGGTGCTTTCACATGGCACAGACATTACCAGTCGTAGTGTCAAATTGCAGTTTGTGTCTTTCATTTCATGTATATTTATCATCAGTTTGATCTTTTTTAAGTGTCTTGAAAGGTATTCTGGAAAGATGGAATTGGTGACACAGTGCTATCCCAGTAGATAGAAGGTTGCATGATTCCTTTGAGTTTTGATTTGTAAAGCCTCGTCGTCTAATTCAAGAGCATCTCTTTGACCCAGGATGTTTCCCAATATGCATTCAGTTAAACAAGGCAGGTGCTTAACTCTGCATGGAAAGCACTTAGAAGATAAAAAGGAAATTGTCTTTCTTTTTTCTTTTTTGTAGCCTTCCTAATATTTACAGTAATATCATTAACTGCATTCTTTATCAATAGCAAAAACAGGATACTTTTTGCAATGTAATTAGATGTTCTATAGTGCAACAAGAAATTGCCTTCTAAAAGGGGGGGAGGGTTCATGTATAATATTCATTTACAATTCAATATAATTACACAAATAATTTTTAAATAGAATCAATAATAAAGACTGTTCTGTGGATGGTAGTGCATAATACATTTTATATTTTGTATAGTGATTTCAGGCCTTTTGTTTTCTTAAAATCAGCAGCTATTTAACCTGATTCTGAGCATTACTTTGTCCTTTGCGCCAGAACTATTTTGTGCACGCTTTTTGTGATGTGTTAAAAGTCTGCATTGCCAACATTGCAGCTCGAACTTAAACTTGTTATTCAAGTAAATATTTAATTTTTTTTATTGCTCTTGTATAACAGATTCCCCTTTTAGTATTATTTTAGAAGCATTGGGAGGGTTTTGGCTAAAGTACAATTTATTGGGGAAAACTAGATTTTAGTTTTATAAAACTTTTAAGTCTTTCATGGGACCTATATTTTCTTGAATTAAATTTTGTAGTTCTAGAAAAAATAGGCGATCTAAAAAGGTGTTTATCTGTGTTACTTAGAAGCATAGGCTTCCTTATATTGTAACCTACTAAGCGATCTGGAGGGATTCCTGTCATTAAGCACAAGTGCACTGACCCCTCAAGTGTCTGCATAAGAGAACAAGCACCACATCGCTGCAAGTTTCCAAATGCTTCCTACGTACAGGCCCCAGAGCCGTGTGCACCCATCAACTTCTTGCCAAAGGAAACAGCCACTGGGGAGAGCAAGCCCTGGAAGAGGCTTTACCATGGACACTCGCCCTTTCGGAAGCCCAAGAGCAGCCTGTCTGGCATGTGTCACGAGCTCAAGCCATAGAATGGTGTGCAGTACCTGAGAGGCTGCACAGAACTGAAGTTAATTGGACATTTTATAGGGATTTATACAGATGTTGGTCCTCAACAACTACAATCCAGTGGTCTGCAAAATAAAATGTGTTGGAAACCTCTGAGATGCACATGCTGTCGAACTTTTTTTTTTTTTTTTTTAATACACTAGTGATGCCTAAATCTGAACAACCTTCGATGTAGATCAAGTCTTGAAGACTGATGATTTCCTTGGTGGCAGGCCTACTGAAATCAAGATGTGCTTGAGGAAATTATCTTTGAGAAGATTTATATATATGATAAAATGTTGGGTAATTAGAGGTTGGTGTCATTCACGTGATCCAGGAGGAAGAGCTGTTCTTAAAGAGTGTTTCTCAGCAACCAGGTCCAGCTCACCTGTGTTAGAATCACTTGGGGATTCTTGTCAAAGGCAAAATCTTGGGCTCCACCCCAGATCTGCAGTCAATATGGGGAGCATGGGACTAGGGACTCTCTTAAGCACCCTAAGTGGCTATCACTAAGGTCAGAACCACAGGACGAAAGGAACAGTGCAGAGGGCTGGGAAAGGCAAAGAAAGGAAGAAAAGTGAACTTGTTCTTAAAATATACTCTTCCAGGAGTTTTTCTTTTACATACTGACCATTCTGTTTACTGACATCTGGGCCCAGCAAAACAAAAAAGCCCAAGTGTCTTGAAAGACCCTTGAAGAATCAGGTGATTGTCATTGAGTATTTGTGACCATAGTATTTGATAAAATGCACGTAGAATATCTTTAAGTGAGCTATTAATAAATAGACCATTACCTGGCTTCCTGGAAGCACGTTAAAACTTCACATTGAGGTGTGTTTATCTTGGTATAGTGATTTATTTTCTGTAAGCCCTATGATAATTGCATCCAAAAATGCAGTTTGTTAGAATGCAGAGAATTAGTGAATACAGCCTGAAGCAGTTGGGCCCTGGTGAGGTCAATTCCTTCAGGCAACAGGAGGTATTTCCCAAGGAACATCAAAGTTAAGCTTATTTGCTGTGTTGAAGCATTTATTGTGATTCAATCCAGGAAAAGAAACTGAAATACTGTGTAAGCAATATGTATTTTTTCTTTTTTTTATCCTCAGGAGAGGATATGTTTATTATTTTGTTTGTTTTTAGGGAGAGAGGAACAGAGAGAGAAACATCAATTTGTTGTCTCTAGTATGTACCCTGAACCCACAACCTGGGTATGTGACCTATCAGGAATTGAGCCTGCCACCTCTGAGTATGGCAATACGCTCCAACCAACAGAGCCACACTAGCCAGGGCAGGATTGTTTCCTTTCCTACATAATTGGCTAAGGCTTTAAAATAGATCAAATCCAGAGCTTTCTTATCAGTGCTCATGATTACTGTCAAATGGTTGAAAAACAATTAAAAATTTTAAATTACTGTATCTGTAAATGGAGAGTAGAGATGGTTGCCATGGGCTGGGGGAGGGGAAAATGAGCAAATGTTGGTCAAAGCCTGTAAACTTCCATGTAAAAGATGAGTAAATTCTGTACAGTAGGGCAACTAATTAATAACAGCATATACTTGAAATTTGCTAAGGGAGTGGATCGTAAGAGTTCTCACCACACACAGATAACAGATGATATGTTAATTTGTCATCATTTTACAATGTATAGATATATCAAATTATCCCCTTGTACACTTTATATATAATTTTTTCAGTTACATCTCAGTAAAGCTAGGGAGAAAAAAAATAATCTGTAATCTACAACCCAGGAAATTGTGTTTTTAAAGAATATTGATGGTAAGATTCTTATGCTGTAATACAAGGCAAAAAAAAATACCAATTTTATAAAATATATATATGCGTGTATTCCAAGTATTATGAATGGAGAAAAATGCACAAAAATCTAAATGACTTTCTTCTAAAGACTAGGAGCATGAGTGAATTTGTTAAAATTCTATATTTTCAATTTTTTTCCACTGCATATGTATTTGATCACAAAACACTGAACCATTTAAATATTTGTTATATTTTTAAATATGTTAATATAATTAATGGAAAAATGATATATACATGAAGGGCCATGGAAGCACAAAATTTTCTTGGGAGATGGATAGGTCCCTTCAATTCTTGGGCAGTTTAGCTTTAGAACAAACCCTTCTTTCCCCAGCAGAGTCCCTGGTTCCACTCTCTCCCCTCTGTGCACACACTGCCTCTGGAGAAATTCCTTGTGCAGATTGTTAAGCCCTCGCCAGCTACTTACTGCCTTTCTTCCAACTAGCTGAGAACCCTCTGCTACCATGAATGCTTGCCTGCACCCCCTCTATTTCCCCTGTATTTTGTAGACAGCCTTGCACAAATTAGGTCCTTAAGAAGCATCTAAGGCCGTGGTTCTCAACCTTGGCTGCACATTAGAATCACCTGGGAATCTTTTTAAAACCCTGACTTCTGGGCCTCATCCTCTGGAAATTCTGTTTCTTTGTTATGGGATGGAGCCACAACATTAGTAACAAACAGAATTTCCAGAGGATGAGGCCCAGAAATCAGGATTTTAAAAAGATTCCCAGGTGATTCTAATGTGCAGCTAAGGTTGAGAACCACTGATCTAAGGTTGGTTGGTTGACTTCATGTAGTGCTAGGTAATTTACCTGAGTCCTCTTGATGTTTCTCAATCCAGACAATTCATTTTATCCTTTCATCTTCTCTCGGCTTCATACATAATCTCTTAGTTCCTAGTTCAGGCTGAAAGATTAAAAATCTTTTTGTACCATACATTATCTCAGATTTTCACACGTGTTTTAATTATGGCTGACACCAGATATGGGCTTGGAGAAAATAGTCTTACATCTCTTTGTCTGGAAATAATTTATATAAAGTCTATCTTATAGCTACAACATACAGCTTATAATTGTGTCCTTATATCCTGCTTTTCCTAAATTATTTTCATAAGAGACCGTGATCTTTATGGGACATATTCTGAATTCTAATTCAAATCTAAAGAAATGATAGTGGAGCGTGTGTGTGTGTGTGTGTGTATGTGACTTTTCTTGTTTCCATTACCACAAAATACCAGAAATGGGGGTTCTCAGAGGATGAGAGTAGAGTTAGTGATATATCAAAGTCACCTGGAAAGACTTCATTGGGTTTAGGTCTCACCTAGGTAATCTAGGATGAGCTCATATAGAGATTCTTAATCATATCTATCAAGACCCTTTTTCAAAACAAGGTCACACTCACCCTTTCCAAGGGTTAGGAAATGGACATACCTGTTTTTTATGGGAGGGCATGATCTTTAGGGGAAAGATCAGGAATTTTGTTTTGAGATGTCTGTTAGAAATCTGGAAATCCTAGTGACGATGTGAAGTAGGCAGCTGGATGCACACAGTCTGGAGTTTATTGGATAGTACAGGGCAGACAGATTTGGGATACAGTTTACAGAAGGAACTTAAAGTCATGAGACTGGAGGAGATTCCTGAGGAAAGTACTGTTTATAGAAAGAGCAGCAAAGGACTGAATTAGGAGCCCAGTGAATAAGGAAGAACCAGCAAATGAGGCTGAGAAGAAGCAGGAAGGGAGTTGCTGCTTTGTTTCACTGAGTCCCGTAAGTTTTGAAATGAGAATCAGCCATTGGATGCTAAACATGGTGGTCACTGGTGAATTGGATGAGAGCCATTTCAGTGAAATGATGAGTGTAAAATATTGACTGACAAAATTAGAGGAGAAAAAATGGAGACAGTGAATGTATGCAATTTTTTCAAGTTTTGCTGCAAAAGGATGGAGAAATGTGTGGGTGATAATTAGAAGAAATAGGATCAATAGGAGGCTTTTATAAGACAGAGGAAATAACAGGATGCTTGTATGTTGATTGTGGGTAGGGGATAACCAACAAAGACAGAGAAGAATTATTGCTGAAACAAGGTTCTACAACAGTCCAGGCAGAATGGGAGGTAATGCACAAGGGTAGGGCTGGCTTTCCTAGGAGCAATGAGTAGTCCTGTAGTTGCAGAGAACACTGAGAATGGGCAGAGTTGCAGGAAAATGGCAAGTATGTTTGCTTCCTTTTGGTGCATGAATGGATTAAATGAACTTTAAAACCTGCTACCAAATTACCTGACCTACAGTCATACCTACTCCTCTTAGGAGGGAATGAATGGCATTTGGGGCGGGGGACGGGGGGAGTGAGGGGGCATTTTTCAATCTGGAATTGATTACAATTTCTCATTCATATGATGACATTTTTTAAGTGTGAACAACACCTGAACAATTTCATCCAAGGTTTTCTTAGGTCATGCTCCTTTTTCTTAGCTGCTCAAATATGACTATTTTAAAAAATCATTTTCTGCCTGGCTGGCATGACCCAGTGGAGTATCGACCTATGAACCAGGAGATCACAGGTTTGGGCTTGATCCCCCACGTGGGGCAAGCAGGAGGCAGCTGATCAATGATTCCCTTTCATCATTGATGTTCCTATCTCTCTCTCCCTCTCCCTTCCTCTCTGAAATCAATAAAAATATATTTTATGGGGGAAAAATCATTTTCTTTAACTTATACATTTGGGGGAAACTTTTGAAAATTCTGTTCCAACATTTGTCTTCAAGGTCACTTTCAATATTTAGATAAACTAAGAACATTACTTGAAGATTAAGGTAAATTTGAAATGATATTCAAAATTCCAACTTAAGAAATGAGTAAATACCAAAATCTGAAGGAGAAAGAAATAATCATTCTTGTGATAATGTACGTTCCACTAATGTTATGTTTCAATAGTTCTAAAAATATTTTATATTCACACACTAAATATAACTACTTAAGGCAGTTCCAAATAGTCCTAATTGCTATTTTAAAAAACTAGCAAAATCCATCAAATTACCTCTTTACCTAAGGAGAAATTACTATTTTAATTCCCCATGGGATCTTAAATAAAAAATCTTAAACCCAACACCCCTCTAATTTTAAAAAGGCAGATAACAATTAGAAGTATTCAAGGATTTCCTTCATCTCTTTTAATAATCATAAACTTAAACACTTCCTTTTATAAATGCCTTATGGTAGGGAGGGCAGGGATTTTCACACACTTGTAAAATGAGGGTATTTTAAGGGGACATTAAAATTACAGGTGTAGCCCCGCCAGCGCAGCTCAGTGGTTGAGTGTCGACCTATGAACCAGGAGGTCATCGTTCAATTCCTGGTCGGGACATATGCCCAGGTTGCTGGCTCAATCCCCAGTGTTGGGCGTGCAGATGGCAGCCAATCAATGATTCTCTTTTAGCATTGATGTTTTCATCTCTCCCTTTCCCTTCCTCTATGAAATCAGTAAAAATAATTTTTTTAAAAAAAAATCTCGCTTGTATTTCTCATTGGAAAGGAAGGCTATAACTTTGTGAGGGTAAAAGTCCAGATCTTTAAATAATTCAGGTAGGTGTGAATTGAATTTACATTTTTAGCTTTATTTTTCTCCTCCCAGCAGTCCCCACTTTCACCAGGCGGGGGCAGTAAGGAGACACCTAATGGTCTGTTCCAGAACCTTTAGGGTTTTCCTCAGAAGCAGAGTATTTCCTGTACCTGCCCAAGGCCAGATACTTCATTTTAAACTATGATAAACCTAAGTGCTTTTCCTTATCCAGTTGACAAGTTCAGGGTCAGGTTCAGCCATGGGATGATCAGTCTGGGGGCATGAAGTTAAAGGCTGATAAGAGAAGGCCCCGGGCATTTCTGTTAACCTAAAGCAGTGGTTCTCAACCTTCCTAATGCGGCGACCCTTTAATACAGTTCCTCATGTTCTGGTGACCCCCAAGTTCATTGTTACAAATTGAACATAATTAAAGCACAGTGATTAATCACAAAAACTATATGTAATTATGTATGTGTTTTCCGATGGTCTTAGGCAACCCCTGTGAAAGGGTCATTGGACCCCCAAAGGGGTCGCAACCCACAGGTTGAGAACCGCTGATCTAAAGGAATCTGGCAGTCTGGTAGGGAGGAATCATGGAAAAGGAATCAAGAACCCAGAGGTAAAGGCCAAAGGACAGGCCTTGCTCAGATGCTGACTTTCTCCCTTCTGCCTTAGAAAACAGGCAGCAGCTAATAATTCAGAGTTCTGGACTGCTTCTCTCCTTGACTAAGGCAGTTTCATCATATTGGATAAACTCATCACTTAAATGATGACGTGTATATGAGGAGGAACATTCTGGAAGTAACCCTTTAAGCTAAAGAAACAATGAAAAAAATGAGAGAAAAAAGAAACAGTGAGATACTGAGTGCATCGTCTGTAGATACTGGAGGAAAAGGGATCTCATAGAAAGAACTTACAGTTCTTATAGCTACTATGGAAAACAGTATGAAGGTCCCTCAAAAATTTTAAAAATAAAACTACCATATGATCTAGCAATCCCACTTCTGGGTATTTATCCAAAAACAGTGAGATCAGGATCTCAAAGACATATCTGCACTCCCATGTTCATTATAGCATTATTATAATAGCCAAGCTATGCAAATAACCTACATGTCTATTGACAGATGAATGGGTAAGAAAATGTGGTACATACACAAAATGGAATACTATTCAGCTTTAGTAAAGAGGGAGGGCCCTGGCATGGCAGGTCAGCTCAGTTGGTTAAAGGGTCATCCTGATACCCCAGGTTTGATCCCTGGTCAGGACACAAAAAGGAATCAACTAATGAATGCATAAGTAAGAAACAGCAAATTAATGTTTTTCTCCCTCCCTTTCTAAAATCAATAATAATAATAATAATAATAATAATAATAATAGGGGAGGGGGGTAAGAGAGCAACCAAAGGACTTGTATGCATGCATATAAGCATAACCCATGGACACAGACAGTAGGGGGGTGAGGACATGTCCTAGGGGATGGGAACAGCTGGGAGAGATCAATGGGGGCAGAGAAGGAGACATATGTAATACTTTAAACAATAAAGAATTTTTTAAAAAAATAATAAGAATAAAGAGGGAAATCCTGCAATTGCCACAACATGGATGGACCTTGAGGACTTTATGCTAAGTGAGAAAAGCTAGTCGCCAAAGGACAAATACTACTTATATGTGGAATCTAAAGTCAAACTTATTGAAGCAAAGAATGAAATGGTGTTTGCCAGGGGCTGTGGGGAGGGGAAGATGGAGAGGTGTTAGTCGGAGGGTACAATGCTTCAGTTATGCCAGATGAATAGTTCTGGAGATCTACGATGCAGCCTAGTGCTTACAGCTAACCGTGCTGTGTTGTATGCTGAAAATTCGCTGAGAGGTAGATTTTATCTATTACCATAAACACAAAAACAATGATAAAGCATGTGAGAGGGAAATTTCAGAGGTCTCCTCTCACATGGATGTTCATGGCCTTGATGGTAGTGATGAGTTTCACGGGCATATACATACTTATCCCCAAATCATAGAATTGAAGAAAAAAAATTCTAGTTCTTTAGGAAATTTAAAATTATTCTAGATCTAGACTGTGTGGATCAGACATTTCAGTGTGTCATTGATTTCATGCTCTTCCTTTTTAAGGACCAGCTTTTGCTATTTGGGACTGGACTCCCTGAAATTAAATGCCTCTTAACAGCATGTTACTTGTAGAGCAGAACATATACATTTTTATTCTTTCAGCAGCTTAGTGGAAGGAACAGTCATGTGGAACAAAATATCCGAAACTACGCAGTTAAGACTGTGGGTCACGTTGCGGTTCGGTTTCTTCTTGGGTGACCTTAGCCCAGTCCCTGAGCCCTTCAAGCTGAGGAGGCGGGGCGTCCGCTGGGGCCGGGGGCGGGGCCGCTCGCAGGAGCCAAGTAGAGGCGAGGCCCGGCCGCCGTCCTTCCAGCTGCTGCCATGGACGGGGCGCGCGCTGCCTCCCGCCTGCGCGTCGTCCTGGGCCACCTCGGCTGCCCCTCGGCCGCGGCCGTCGTATCCTTTGGGCTGCGCGGGGCTCGGGCTGGAAGGGTGGTGGCCTCCAGGGCGATCGTAGGTTCTTCCCCTTCCTCAGCGCCCCGGTCCCGGAGATGGGCACAGCCCTTCCGGGCGCCGGGCGCGAGGGGCCCGGAGGAGGGCGCATCCCAGGCCAGCGCCGGCTGCAGGGGGCGACGCGGCGTGACTCCAGCCTCGGGGCCGCTGGGGCCGCTGTCTCCCTGCTTGTCACCAAGGAGGTCATCTTCTGACCTGCGCCGCGCGTGGCCTCCGCGGCTGCCCGGACACCTAGAAGCAGAGCGGCCTGGAGGAGCCGAGGCGGGCGGCCGGGCCTCCGCGGGGCACCCGCCGGGCTGGGAAGGGAGCTCGCCCGTCTGTCGCGCCCTCAGCTCTGCGCGCTGAGCTCGGCCTGCGACCCCTCGGCGCTCGCACTGGGTCCGCCTCCGGATTCGGCATCTGAATTAACCCGGGAGGGAATGGGTGCGCAGCGGTGTTGGGTCCAGAGAGGTGTCACTACAGCATAGGACGCGTAAATCAACTCCCTTTATGGAGTGTACTTGCTGCTCAGATTAGGTGTTCTCTTCCGGGGCGCACTTTTGGAAGCTCCCTATAAACTGCCGGGGATGGCTCCTTAATGCGAGCTGATTCGCCTCTGTCCGGCTGTCTGTAGGATCCTGAAATCTCATGACCATACTAGCTGTTTCTTTTACTTTCACTATTGCTCTCCAGCTGAGTTCCAAGCAGCGATGTACCAGAACCGCTGTACGTTTAAAATCGCGTCCATAGACTGATGAGGGGAACCAGGGTATTACATAATCTCATGTTACAGGTGAGAGATTGGAAGCTAGGCGAGGTTCAAACTCTGGACCAAGGTCATTTAACTGAAGCAGTGGTTGTCAGAGTGTGGTCCTGGGACGTCAACACCACATGGAAGCTAGTTGGAAATGTAGATTTTCAGGCTCATCTCAGACCTCGAGAAACAAATCCCTGAGGATGAGTCCACTTGCTGTTTCTGACACATGCTCAAACGAGAGAACCACTGCTATATTGAGACTAGGTATTTATAATCAATTGAGGTTCCTCTCCAGGCTGTTACTACTTTGAAATTTGATATTCTGATCTTGCTGTTTCTTGCTATAATGGTGTCAAAGGCAGAACTCAGTGTTTTCACATGTATTTCCTCCCCCCCCCTCCCCCCCTGGAATGTTGCCTTTGAACTGTCCTCGCAATCACATTTTTTCTGAGAATAGTTGACAAAGGTCATCAACTTCTCTGCTACGTGAAACACAGACAGTAGCTAGTGATTCTGACTCCTGGCCTGCCTTTCTTTTGGACTATAACATTGTTCCAGTTATATAAGATGTCATTTAAAAATAACATGTTTGCCCTAGCCGGTTTGGCTCAGTGGATGGAGCGTTGGCCTTCCGACTGAAAGATTCCAGGTTTGATTCTGGTCAAGGGCATGTACCTTGGTTGTGGGCACATCCCCAGTGGGCGGTGTGCAGGAGGCAGCTGACTGATGTTTCTAGCTCTCTATCCCTCTCCCTTCCTCTCTGTAAAAAAATCAATAAAATATAAAAAAAAATAACATGTTTACGAGAAGGGACATTCTGAAAATAACTCTTTAAACTAAAGATATGATTTTAAAAATGAAAAAAAGAAACTATAGATGCTAAGTCAGCAATCTATGGTTACTGGAGAAAAAAAATTAGAACAAATTACTAGTTCTTTAAGTATTTAAAATTATATTTGACTGTGTGGATCATACTTTTCTTGGAATCGTTGCTTATTTTATAGGTTTTTTAAATGACCAGCCAAATTGTTTCTAATATTTTGGCCTGGACTCCAAATAAATTAAATACCTCTTTTAACTAGCACATCTTTCTCTTTACTTCTAGAATTGGCCCTTTCAATTTTTACTCATTCAGTTTAGTGGAAGGAATAGTCGTGTGGAATAAAATACATGGAAGCTATGAAGTGAAGGTTGTGGGTCAAGTCTTGGCTCAGCCATTTTCTGTTGGGTGACCTTGGACCAGCTACTGAGCCCTCCAGGCCGAGGTTCCCTGCTCTGAGTGGCAGGACTAATATCAGAGCTTCCAGCCCTCTCCTCAGGCGGCTGTGGGAATGAAATGAAGTGAGGGAGGCAGTAGTATGGAACTGCCAGAGTTATGTAGATAAGCAGTTTGCTTGATATCTGTTTGGGACCCGTCTTCCCATGTGAGAGCCAATCCAGTTTTCTAGAAACTGTTGTTTCTAGAAAAGTTTGACTCCTAAATTTGTATTTGCCTTAATTCATATCCTAGATAGCTCACCCCACTTCAGGGGCTGTTCCTTCTGCCAGTTTCCATCCTCAATTCCAGTAAGTAGATCTAATTTTAATTTTTAGCCATACAATGTATATAAAGGCTCTTCTAGTGGTAACTAGTATATAAAACACAGTATATCCTGTTGCCTGGTAACAATTCATTCTGCAAAGCCTCCATTTCCAGGACTTATTCTAATTAGAACAATTGTGGAAATTTTTGAAGATCCTGACTTTAATTTTCTATTTGTATTTTAAAATTCAGAAAGGAAAAAAATATCAGAAAGGGCACAATATGGTGTTTAAAATTCAGGCATGTTGCCCTGACCGGTTTGGCTCAGTGGATGGAGCGTCGGCCTGCGGACTGAAGGGTCCCGGGTTCGATTCCGGTCAAGGGTATGTACTGTGGTTTCGGGCACATCTCCAGTGGGGGGTGTGCAGGAGGCAGCTGATTGATGTTTCTCTCTCATCGATGTTTCAAAATCTCTGTCCTTCTCCCTTCCTCTCTGTAAAAAATCAATAAAATATATTTAAAATTCAGGCATGCTATATCTTATTTAAGTTCACCTGTCATATGGTCATAGGATGTATCAGCTAACATGTTTAGTTTATCTCTTTACCTTTAAAGAAAAAGACATCTGATCTCCAGGAGTATTCTCAGAAAGCCACAATTCCAACTAGAGAGGAATGGACTGGGTGATTTGAGTGTGTGTGTATGCTGTACACATATCTGGATTTTGTTATTTTGATTTCTTTGGAGAATTCATGAACCAGACAATTAAAAATATAAAATCTGCCCTGGCCGCAGTTGCTCAGTGGTCAGAGCATAGGCCTGCACACTGGAGGGTCTCAGGTTCGATTCCAGGTCCAGGGCAAGTACCATCCCTCCCCAGGTCCCCAGGTCAGGACTCATGTGGGAGGCAACCAATCCATGTGTCTCTGTCATATTGATGTTTCTCTCTCCTGCCCTCCCTCCTCCCTTTCATTCTTTCTAAAAATCAATGGGAAAAATATCCTCACTTCTTGGGTGAAGATTAAATATATATAACCAGATTGCACCCTTTCTGATATTTTTTCTCCATTCTATATATATATATATATATACATATATATATATATATATGTATATATATATATATATATTCTACTGAATTTGTTGCCAATCTGAAAAACTATACCTATTCATTACAAAACAAAATGTTAAATCAGAGAAATAGAATCTTTTAAAATCATATATAATTTCATTACATAAAGGTAATCACTGTTAAAAAATTTTTTTGTATTTTTGCACTTTTTAAAAATAGTGTCTTAGCTTTATAAATTATAATCATATTTTATTATAATAAGCATTGTCCCTGCTATTATATACTGCTTATTTTTTAAAAAATATATTTTATTGATTTTTTACAGAGAGGAAGGGAGAGGGATAGAGAATTAGAAACATGAGAGAGAAACATTGATCAGCTGCGTCCTGCACACCCCCCACTGGGGATGTGCCTGCAACCAAGGTACATGCCCTTGACTGGAATCAAACCTGGGACCTTTCAGTCCGCAAGCTGACGCTCTATCCACTGAGCCAAACCGGTTAGGGCTATACTGCTTATTTTTAATGCCTGAGTCATATCCCATTGAATGGAGATGATATAATTTGTTAATTCTTTAATTTCTTTGTGACAGTAGTTAATGCTTTGGATTTAAAACTTTACATTTTTTTTCATATTACTTCCTTAAAGTCTTTGAAATAGAAGTGCTGGGTATTGTTAGGTTGTGATTTGTTATTATTTGAGATGTATTTTTCTCCTTTAGGTATACTCGGGATAATAATGTTCTAAGCCTAGAACAGAGAAAATTTTATGAAGAAAATGGGTTCCTTGTCATTAAAAATTTGGTATCTGATGCTGATATCAAACGCTTTAGGTATGGTAACTATTTGTTATTTTACAGAAGTATATGTTTTATGCATGTGATGGGAATATAGTAAGATTAGCTTGTGCACTTTTAGTGATTTGGCTCCTTAGGAAACTGGGCTCTGGAGCCAGACTGGCTGGCTTTAATATTAGCCCCACCACTTAACATTGTGTGTCCTGGGGCAGTTTACTTACCCTTCCCATGTCTCTGTCCCACATCTGTAAAATGGGGGTAATAATAGTACTTACGACCTCGAGTCGTTGTTAGGACTAAATAAGGTAAACATATTGAGAGAAGACTTGGAACAGGGCCTGAAGTGCTGCTAGTGCTACAGCAGTGTTTGCTATTCTCCAGGTGTCACCAAATCACATGTATTTCTCCAAATGGTCTTCTAAGCTAAGGAATATTTGAGTTCTGGTAGTGAATTCCAGCCTCGCAGTTAGGAAGCAGGGACTTCTGAGTTGGCTGTTTTCTCCTCCTTTCCTAATCAGAATTATTCAACCTGGGCTGGAGGCCAACTTAGTGCAGAGGGAATACCCCCCCCCCCCCACCCCAATCTGTGAATTTTTCCCAGAACTGGGTCAGGTAGGTGCTTGGAGCCAGCAGTAAGGACATCATTTGCCAACTTAATTTTCTAGGAATGAGTTTGAAAGACTCTGCAGACAAGAGGTAAAACCAGCTGGATTAATGTTAATGAAAGATGTGACCATTGCGAAATCAAAATATGCTCCAAGTGAAAAAGTGATTACCAAGGCCCAAGATTTCCAAGAAGATGAGGAACTCTTCAGATACTGCACTCTCCCTGAGGTTCAAGACCTTGAATATATTTTCCTCTAAGCTAATAGCCCATGTGCATGCTTGCCTCCGAAATCTGTCTTTTTACTTTACCTATCACCTTTCTGCTGTGGTCCTAGAGCAGTGGTTCTCCATGGGAGATGATGGTATTTGCAATGTCTGGAGACATGCTTGGTCGTCACACATGGACAAGGAGGGATGGTGTGCTCCTGGCTTCTAAGGTGTAGAAGCCAGAATGATGCTAATGGGGCTCTAGGACCCTATGAGGCACAGAATAACCCCCTCCCCGAGACAAATGATTATTCAGCCCCAACTGTCAGTTATGCCCTGATTGAGAAACGGCACTGTAGAGTTTGCTAATTACCTCTGGTTGAGAAGGGAAGGAATTCTGTGTTAAAGAGGGAGTCTTTCTTACACTTGATTCAGGCGTACCAAAGGGTGAAATTGCTGAAGCTATGCAGTGTAAATCCATTTCTTTGTTTGTTTGTTTTGTTTTGTTTTATGAATCTGGTCAGCAGAACTGCGAGTTTGACTTTAAATTTAAACTAGTTCTTAAAATAATTATTATTCTTTAAGAGCAGTTCATACTTATGAAAATATCCAAGTAGTCCAGAGGGGCATAAAATGAAAAGTAAAGTCTCGCACCCATAGCCTTCTTCACTGCTCAGCTTTCTTATGTACTCATCTGAATTATTTTGTGTATATGCAAGCATATTCGTATGCCCCCACCTTGTAACGTGGGAACATACTGGTTGTCACCTTGTTTTTTCCATTTCTGGTAGATCTTAGACATCTTTCCATTAGTATCTCTGGATCTACTTTTATTTTTAAAACTACTGTGCATTATTCCACAGCACACATGTACCCCAGTTCATGAACCATCCATTTAGAATGGCTTTAAAGGAGACATTACATATAGTACTTATTAGAAGTTATAAGCCAAGGGCTGTTAGAGAATTTGACTCATGAAGAAAGACTGTACAGGTCTGTGATGTCCAGCCCCATGCGTTGGTGGCCGGAGGGGAAGTGTCCCTTCTGGACCATCCATTCATCTGAACCTCATGGTATGTGATGGACATGGAAGCTGTGTGGGTGGGTCAAGGAGGAAAAGCTCAAGATTGGAGGCCACTTGTGGTAAATGGAACATTATGGGGATTTTCAGGTTTCCTACATTTCTAAAGTATGACCCATGTCTCTGGTGGTTCATGCAATAATTTTTAGAAGGTATGGAATGTTTTTGGTTTTTTTTTTTAATTGATGTCAGAGAGGAAGGGAGAGGGAGAGAGAGATGGAAACATCAATGATGAGAGAGAATCACGGACCAGCTGCCTCCTGCACGGCCCCCAAGGGGGATGGAGCCTACAACCCGGGCATGTGCCCTTGACTGGAATCGAACCCAGGACCCTTCAGTCCGCAGGCCAACGCTCTATCCACTGAGCCAAACCAGCTAAGGCAGTATGGAATGTTTTAATAGCTATCTAGTTTAGTGTGTATTGAAAAGTAACCAGCACATCTAACCCATGATTTCGAGGATATTAATCAAGACAAGACTAAGTTAAAAGGAGTTAAAGAATTATTAGCTAACTATATTGGGAAATTCTGCAAAGTATGGCAAAAATGGTGAGGATGGCTTTTGAATGAGGTTTAGAAAATACTGACCTAAGTGAAAAACAAACAGAAAAATGACAGGCTTTATAAAAAACAAATATCAGGCCTGACTCCTCAGGCTTATTCCTCATACTCAAAATTATTCCAAATGAGTACGAAATTCGTACACAGGTGGGGTCCTTAGGCCTGGCTCGCAATCAGGGCCGATCAGGTTCCCCACCTCCCGGCCTTCTCCTTCCCTTGCTACCCGCGTCCTCCACCACCCACCCCCAGTTCCCCATCCCAGCCCGGGGCCCAGCCCCTCTTAGGTGCGATCAGGACCTGCCAGCCAGGGCGAGGGACCGGGAGGCTGGCCAGCACGGGGAGAGCCCAACCACCACCATGGTGGGCAGGCCTATCAGGGCTTGCCAGCTGGGTTGTAGGTGGGGGGAAGGTACAGGAGAAGGGACCTGGGAGGTTGGCCGCCAGCCCCAAGGAGGGAGCCGGCCCTCAGCCCCCCTGGGAAAGGGGCCGCATCTACCACCACCCACCCCCAGTTCCCCATCCCAGCCCCGATTGGGTGATTGGGGCCTGCCATCTGGGGGGAGGGACCAGGTTGGCCAGCAAGCCCCTTTGGTGATTGGGGCCTGCCAGCTGGGGGCAGCTCCTGCATTGAGCATCTGCCCCCTGGTGGTCAGTACACGTCATAGCAACCGGTTGTTCTGTCTTAACGGTTGCTTAGGCTTTTATATATATAGATTCCTTACACACAAGATACCAAATAGTGAGAAAGCAGTAAAATGTGCTTCATTTTTTGGAGTCAGAATTGGAGTTTGAATATCAACTTTTCATGTAGCTGACTCTGCCAACTTGGGCAATTTATCAACCTCAGGCTTATTCATGTGGGCTATTTGTTTTAAAGGATTATTATTTAACTGAGGCCTGTTGCACGAAAAGATTAGTGCAATAGGCCTTCCCTTCCCCTGGCTGCCGGCACCAGTTTTCCTCTGGCACCCGGGACCCAGGCCTTCGGTCCAGCCAGAGCCGCCTTCAGTCTTCGCTGTTCTGGCCGGAGCTGCCTTCAGTCTTTGCTCCGCCGCTTCGCGCCTATGTATGCAAATTAACCGCCATCTTTGTTGGTGGCTAATTTGCATATCTTGCTGATTAGCCAATAGGAGGCGTAGTGAAGGCACGATCAATTACCATGTTTGTCTATTACTAGATAGGATGGGGACATTAATTTTCAGGGATTACTGTGAGGCTTAATTGGGCTGATTTCATAAAGCCCCTGGCAAGTAGTAGGCATTCAATGTTGAGTCCTTTCTGTACTTCACCCCTCCCCAGGAGGGTTAGGTGCTGGAGGCAACACCGCAGCTGCTGGAGCCTGTGACTAATTCAGCCCTCCCTGTCACATGCTCTCATTGCGGCTTATTCTTCATAGCATGTGTCTCAACCACAACTGCCCATGTCATCGTTTGTTTATCTTCCACCAGACTATAATATAAACTCTTTGAGGCAGCTCGCTGTTGTATCCTGTTTCCTGTCACTCTGCCTGGTTCACAGACCTCAGTAAAGAGCTGAGTGAATGGTCACACTGACTGTGAGGGTCCTCTGAGCTGCTGTTCTCCTTTCCTCTGGGCTCCTCATGACAGCTGCATGTGGGTTGGGTCCTGTCATGGTCCCTTCCTGTGAACAGTCTCCATGAAGGAGGAGGAAGCTGGCTCCTCACTGAGCAACTGTCGTCAGCTTTGATTGAAAGGAGGTGGGGAGGCATGAACCATCCGTCCTTCCCAGTTGATCTCTCATAGAAACTTCCATCTCTCTTGTAGAAAAAGCGGTTATGTTTCCAATAGGCTCCAAAAAGCCCGTTAATTCGGAGTGTTAGAAATTTCCAGTGATTTCCAAGTGCTCACTTTTTCAAATTTCCAATGATTTCCAAGTGCTTTGTTTGCAATGTTGTGAGATTGGCTTTTTTAAACTACTGTCATCTTGGTTCTCATAAAGATAGTTGTACTTTGTGCCACTCGCTTGTGCATCTGGTTTCTCATGAATTCCCCCCCCCCCACACCCACCCTTTCCTTTAGATTCTGAAATATGTGGAGTGCTTCACTGGACCCAACATTATGGCCATGCATACCATGCTGATAAACAAGCCTCCCGACTCTGGTAAAGGGCTCTTATTTGTTCAGGGGAAGGAAAATGTTTTGTTAAAATACATAAGGTTGATGTTCTAACTATAGCCATGTGTATAAGTGCTAAACTTTGCATAAATGAGTATGTGTCCTGTTAAAAGAGAGACAACAGGCCTAAAATGGAATCCCTTGTGCTAGCCCACATCAGCAAGCTGAGCCTTAATACCTAACCAAATTGCAGTTTCAGTTCCTCCCAGGAATAAAATCTTAACCAGTCAATGTCAGCACTAGTGAGGTCATCTGCCGAATAGTCCCCCTGCCCCTCCCCTTAAAGGGGCTGCCTGAACAGTCCTCTTCTCTAGTAACTTCCTTATCCCTCCACCATCTGCCTACCAAAGCCTTCCATTTGGTAATCTCCTCTGAGCTCCTTCTGTCTGCTACATTGAATGCTGCTCAATTCGTAAGTCATTCAATACAGCCCATTAGATCTTTAAATTTACCCACTTGAATTTTGTTTTTTACAGTACTTTAATTCAAAATAGCTTATATCATAACAACATTTAGTGTAATAGTGATTTCATATATTAACTGTAGGGTTATTACTGCTGGATTTTCAGATGATAGGATTCTTAAACATTCAGGTTTATAAACAACTCTTTATATCACATAAGGACCTATTACTCAACATCTCTAAGCTTTATTAACCATCCTCACCTGTGATAGTGTGAATTCTGCCTTTATTATTATTATTATTATTATTATTAACAAAATTAAACTATTTTTGTAAATCACATACTACAGTTGTTATTAAAATTTATTGTGCTTTCTAAAATATAGCTTCTAAAACCTTACTTCCTGAGAAACTGATTTGGATGGTAGTACTCAGGAATCTGCATGTTATTTACCATCCCCTGATATTCTTATGCAGATGGCTGTTGGGCCATGCTGAGGAATGTTGCTATACCAGCAGTAGTAAATTGGCCATCAGAGATCTTTTCATGTTTTCTACTTTTTCTTCCTGGAGGGCCAGGAGAGGCTTCTGTGATAGGCCTGTAGCTTCACATCACCAAGTCTCTCCTCCCTGGATGTCTTGCCTGGAGAGATCAGGGAGCCTGGGGAATCAGATTCAAAGAGCAAAACCAGGGAGAAATGTAAATGTGGTCGTGGCATCTCTGATTCTGCACAGTGATTATATACCAAATGCTTCTAGTTTGGTGAGGAAACCTCTTAGGGCTTTTTTATTTAGTTAGCTAATTAAAAACATTTTGCAGACTATCAGGGGACCTCAAAGATGACCACTCTCTTCAATATAATTAATTAAACTTTGTTTTTTGACACTAGGCCCTGTGCCCAAACCAGTTAGAAAGGAATAAAGCACAATAGAGATGATGATATATGTATGACTTGCTAGAAAATAGTGTATGTGAGTACTCAGCTACCAGAAACCCAGAAAAAAGTAGAGGATCTGGAGTCCCTGTGTTGATTCGATATTCCAGTTAGGTGCTTGTCACCTGAGGCAGATTTTCTAGAATCTAGAACATGGTTTCATTTGTTTAGTTTTTGCAGGGATTGGTCATTATTCTGGTTTTTCAGGCAGAAGAGAAGAATTCTGAGCGTCTTTTAACAGCAGGTTCCATTTCAGGCAAGAAGACATCCCGCCATCCCCTGCACCAGGATCTGCACTACTTCCCCTTCAGGCCCAGCAATAGCATTGTTTGCGCTTGGACGGCCATGGAGCACATTGACCGGAACAACGGCTGCCTGGTGGTGCTCCCGGGCACACACAAAGGCACCCTGAAGCCGCATGATTATCCCAAGTGGGAGGTAGGTCTGCCTAGCAGCTGAGTCTTGATCAGAATCTTGCGTTGTTTTGATTTCCCATCAGTCTACATAAAGAGCCTTACCAATGAGATGGCATTTCCCTTCACAGCCAAACATTGGTCTAGGATTTGGAATCCCAATCAGGGAAAATTCAAGGATGTTAGATAAAGTACTCATTTCTGCACTTTCAACAAGGGTTTGAAAGCCAATCAACATGGGGAACTTTGGTAGGTGTTGTAGGATTCGAGATTATAGAGCCTAATTTGCAAAGGTAAGACATACACATTGCAAGACCAGATGCATGTGCCAAGTGCCAAGTAATTCTTACACAGTGATTGGTGGCTCTTGCAGTGAAAAAGAGGGGCGGCTCACCTTCCAGCTGGAGAGACCAGCAGAAGCGCTGGGGAGGATGGAGCAGTATTCCATCGCACGGCTGTCCCACGGTTTACTGATTCAACTCTTGATGCTGAAGGACTGTTAAATGCTTTTGAGCTCAGAAGTGACGAGACCGATCTGGTTCTTCAAGACCACTAATCTTGGGGTGTGCACGGGATGTATTGAAGATGTAGGAGTCCATAGGCAGGGAAACCAAAAGGAGCCTTTAGTGCTTTAGGTATAAGGCAATACATCTTGCAGCCCCAGAATGATGGTCAGAATGCGAAGAGCACCTGTTACTAAGGCAGGAAGAACGAACGTGGTCCTGTAGGAAGTAAAGAGAATATAGCTTTAAAGACTTCTGTCTCAGTGAGACTCGGTGTGCTGATGATTAGTGCTAAGTAAAAAAAAAAAAAAAAAAAAAAAAGTCTGGATTTTGATATAAAATCTGAAATTATGAGCTTTGTCAAGTAAGGTGAGATTTAGGGAAGGTTTGGTGCAAGCAAAAGGGAGTGTTTTGGAGAGCCGCAGGGCCTTGCTGAGTCCCTGGAAGGCTGGCTAGGCCTGCTGGGCTGGAAAGTGGGCATTGCAGCTCGGTAGGAAGAGTACGTTGGGGCACCTGGTGTGGGCAATTGAACCCTGACTATGTCCTGTCTCTTCCATCCTCTGCTCAGATTTGAATCTGAGTGGCCGAAATGGGAGGTCAGTTTGGCTTAGCTTGGGTCGCATATCCACCCTGGCCAGGAGAGAAGTGCACCGGATCCAAGTCCTAACAGAGTTCAGTCTTAGGAGGGGGGATGGGATGCTGCCTCTACCCTAGAACAGCAGCCCCACCCCCTCATAAAGGCTTGTAAGCTTTACATCACTTCTCACTGTAGTTTTTAATAAAGACATAACCTTTCCTTAAAGCAATAACTAACTTTGGAAACAGTTATAAACAAACACAACGTTATAATTTGCGATTCTTCTTTCTTTACTCTGGACAAGACATGAGCTCAGAAAAATTGAACATTTTTTCTCCCCTAGTTTTGGAGAATAGTTTCTCAGAGATACTCCCGAATAATAGGAGAATGATTTATGCAAAGTTCCAGATGAGGAGACTATCATGCTGAGAAAGAATGATCATGAGTTCGGGCTGTAAAGTTCTCCTGCATTAACTGAAAAATGCAAAGCTGACCTAGAGCTTCATTTATTACTCAGTAACAAAGGGTAGGAAGAAATTCCAAAGTTTTTATTCGGTCAAAAAAAATATCTGTGATTTTAATATCAACAGGTGACTTTTAAAAACCAGACATCTGAGAAGCTTTTGTATATTTACGTTTTTTAAAAGAATCTAACTTATCTCCTCTTGGAAGAACTTAGAGTAGTACCTTTGCTTTTCCTGATGATCTATAAAGTTTGTAATTACTGGCTTCCTCAAATACAGACTTGGCTCTCATTTGTGTTCTAGGGGGGAGTTAACATAATGTTCCATGGGATCCAGGACTATGATGAAAACAATGCCCGGGTTCACCTTGTGATGGAGAAGGGAGACACCGTTTTCTTTCATCCTTTGCTCATCCATGGATCTGGTCAGAACAGAACTCAAGGATTCCGGAAGGTATGCATTCACATAACAGCATTTTTCAACGATGAATGGCCAAACACAAAAATGCCAAGATATATTGAAATTTAAAAGATTTGACACTTTTGCCGTGGCTGGTCCACAATGGTTAGAGCATTGGCCTGTGCACCAAAGGGTCACGGGTTTCATTCCCAGTCAAGGGCAGGTACCTGGGTTGCAAGTTTGATCCATGGCCCTGTTTGGGGCATGTGTGGGAGGCAACCAGTCCATGTGTCTCTATCAACAATGATATGTGTGTGTGTGTGTGTGTGTGTGTCCATATCTCTCTCTCTCTCTCTCACCCCTCCTTCACTCTCTCTCTCAAAAAAAAAAAATCACTGGAAAAAATATCCTCAAGTTAAAAGATTTGTGACTTTTAACTAAACTAGCCTTTAGTCTAACTTAATTGCCAGGAAATATATTTCATGCTTTTTTTGCTCAGATCAGTAAGAAGCCAGGCGACCTCAGGATCCCATTCATGATTTGCTTCAGAGCCAGAGCTTACTTGGGAGCTGATGGCCTGTGCTTTGGAGGCAAAAACCATTGCTGACAAACTAAAATAATAAAGTTTTGAATGTATATAGCTCATAGTAACCAAATAACAGAAAAGTTTATGTTATCATTGCTATTGAAAAAAATATTATTGATCCAAAAGAAAGGTTCTGAATTGGCTATCCAGAAATCAAATTTAGCAGGCAGCCATTGTTTTCACCCCTCAGTGTTAGAGCATTTTAAAAATATATATATTTTTTTATTGATTTCAGAGAGGACGGGAGAGGGAGAGAGAGATAGGAACATCAATGAGAGAGAGAATCATTGATTGGCTGGGGATCAAGCCTGCAACCCAGACATGTGCCCTTGACAGGAATCGAACCTGGGACCCTTCAGTCCACAGGCCAACGCTCTATCCAGTGAGCCAAAACAGCCAGGGCTTAGAGATTTTAAACTTAATGATTTCATTGCTTACATTAAAACTTGACAACTTTCTCATAAATTCTCAATTTCTCATTTCTCTAAAATTCAGCAGCACACCTGGCAGTACAGTGTGTGGACTCACATTTCCCCCTTGATTACATGACTGTCAATACTAAATATTGGGGGCTTCTTTGGGCTGAGTGAGGCTGTTCGTTTGTTACACCAACACCTGTTGTCTCCCTGAGGCAAAGGGTTAGTTGCCAGGTTTCATCTTTCATTCATTCATATTTGCACTGGGCTCAGCAGGGCCAGGATGAGGGTGAGGTGAGAAGGCACTCTCTTCAGGGGCCAATATTTTAAAAAATCAAAATCACTGCAAGAAAATCCATGATGAGCACAATGCCAACATTTTAAATCTGAGTGGCTGCAGTGGGAGGTTCTTCACGAGATCAGGTTCTTCGCTAGCACAGACCTCAGCACTGTGAAGGGCGGGCGGATAGGCACCTCAGTACAAAAAATGAGGAGTTTAATATACTGACTCTGCAATTTTTCAATATTTTTTCAACTACTTTAATGTTTGGAAAAACACTAACCTTTAAAAAATACATAAAAGCATGTATAAAGGATGCACATTCCCCTCGCCCTGGGGCTCACATGGGACACGGAGCTTGTGGCCACTCTGCCTAGAAATGTGATGTTTGGGGCAAAGAAGGAAGTTCTGACAGGTGTGGTCGCCTTAAGATAACTGATCTGTGCTGGGAAGGTGAGTTTGAGGTAGTGCCTGCAGCAGATCTGTTTATAACTTTTTCAAGAATGGGAAGGGCAGGTAACTTCTGTCTTGCCTTCATAAAGGAATAAGACAGGTATCTGCTGTCAGACTTCAAATGTCCTTTTGATTCAAAAGGGGGGTGTATTATTTTCCTTTGCAAGGTGTACCCTTACCCCCCCCCCCCCCCCCACACACACAATCTGTGGCCATTGAAATAACAAGCCATCACAAACTTCATTGAGTATCTTTTGTGACTAAGATGATGAAAAACCCTGGAATACATTCCCTTTAAGCATTTGGGGATATCTACTCCTTAGAAAAATTAAATGTTAAAAAGTTAAAGACCTCTGACTTAACAGAATTATGTTCCCTGCCCTATAAATGCCTTTTGAAAATAAATATCACAGCTAGTTAAAAACCTCTTGTAACTTCTCAAGTAGCTTTTAGCTAGGAGGAGAAAAGGCTACTGAAAAGAGACTGATTTAAGGCGCCATGGAACAGCTTTCAGTCTAGAAATCAAACACTGAGGGAAATAACTGACTTTCTAAAAGAAACCTTGCTTGGTTGCTGGTGTTGATGGGATTTTAGCCCTTAATATTAATTGGTTCACTTTGCCCAGGCAATTTCCTGCCATTTTGCCAGTGCCAACTGCCACTACATCGATGTGAAGGGCACCAGTCAAGAAAACATTGAGAATGAAATTGTGTCGTTAGCCGAAAAATTGTATGGAGTGAAAGAAGGTGTCTCCCTGAAGGTATGTGTATGAAATGGCAAGATAACGATCTCGGTTTTTGTCTTTTCTTCAGATGCTTACTAATCCTCCTTGTTGATTTAATTTGAGGGTGTAAACTGCGTGTGGTGAGAGCTCTTTGCAGAAACGTGGCTGATACCAACAAAGAATGCCCATGGAATTTCAGTTTGCACTTGCTTCCCCAGTGTGGGGAGCTGATGGCCTACCGGCTTCTTTGTGTCTTTGGGCCGTCCTGGCGTATGCAGGCTACCTTGTTCCAGGACAGTCAGATAGGATAGAAAATAGAAAACATACTTAGAGGACAGGAAATGAAGGACAACAGGCTACCTCCTGAATGCACACAGGAAAGTTAAAGGTTTGGACTAGCAATCACAGGCCTCCTTTATTTGTACAGAATAGATATTTATACAATTGGAAATCCAATAAGACTCCCAGGAAGCAATTCTTAGGCAAGTATTTGTTTGCATGTACAGAGATAGATCGCTAATGCTTATCAGTAAGAGGTGTGAGATACTTCATATGCTTCCCTAATTCATACACATCACTTGTCAATTATTTGTTGTTGTTGTTTTTTTTAAATATATTTTATTGATCTTTTACAGAGAGGAAGGGAGAGAGAAAGTCAGAAACATCTATGAGAGAGAAACATCGACCAGCTGCCTCCTGCACATCCCCCACTGGGGATGTGCCCGCAACCCAGGTACATGCCCTTGACCGGAATCGAACCTGGGACCTTTCAGTCCGCAGGCCGACGCTCTATCCACTGAGCCAAACCGGTTTCGGCCAATTATTTGTTTTTAATTAGTGGACATTCAGTGCTGATGAGGATCAATAGAAAAATTCTCAGTCAAGGCAAATAGACATATTTGCTTTGTAGACTATGTACATTGTAGCCTGGGAACCAAGAAGCTGATCTGCTTTTAAATGAACATTAGGTAGTCATAAGTGCATGCACTTCCTCTGGGGTGGCAGACCCTCCCACAGGCGGAGCCTTCCCGGCCTGTGAAGAGCGCTGCACACCAGTCTGTCGAGAATCATTTTCTGAACACCTTCCCAGCTCAAGAATCTTACTTCGCCCTTTACTTCTATCTCCCTTTAGAATCTATGAATGTACCCACCTCTGAAAATGCTCTGATCTCACATTTGCAGATTCTAGAAAGTATCGTCCCTCTCCCTTTGTCCAGTATGTAAAAGGACTTACAAAGGCAACGTGGCTTGTCAGCATAGTTGTGGTTTCCGTCCAACACCCTGAATTTTAAGGCAGGAAAAAAGTATACATTCAGTTTGAGGTTTGTCATTATTGCACTAAATGAGTTACCTCCTGTATTTATTTTAGTTACCTTCTATGTTACAGTTTATCAATTTTATGTACAATAACAATACAAACTTTTGCTCTATAGTTCTTTTAAGGTAACAACAAAAGCATTTTCACACTCTTTTTCTTATTTTCTTCACCAAAATCCAGTGCAGCAGTCATTAGAGCTGCATGCTCCTAATGAGAAAATAGTCCAGAGGTGGGCCTGTTACGTGACACAAGCTAGACTGCAGAGTCAGGTCGAATTCCAAAATCGTTCTTCTCTCTATACCTTGCTGGTTGCTCAAAAATAAACAAGAAATAAGAAATAAATTTAAAAGTCTGAATTGTTTTATGAAGAACAAAGGAAAAGCAAATAAACCAGTAACCTGTAGTATCATTGGCATGGTTATGACCTAATCAGGAGTAGATGACTCAAAATGAGCCAGGCAAATCACCCGACGGAAGGCAGGAAAATGGGTAGGGAACTGTCTGTACTGTGACCGAGCATAATAATCAGCCGGCTGCGGACCTGTGATCAACAAGAGGACCCAGTACAACAGGGTTGACAGCTTGGGGACTCCTTGCCTTAGATTGTTTAACATGATATTAGATGTTGGCAAATAAGTAAATCGGAGTCTCAGAATATGGTTTATCTTCTAACTGATAGGACTATTGTGGAGGCTTCCACGTCCCACCCCCTTCCCTCCGCCCCCCATTTAACCATTTGTAGATGCTAGAAATTTACTTTCTTTTATGGTGAAGAGACAAACTGAAGTGTTCCATAAACTTTTGTTTGGCATTATTTCCAGGATGTTTGGAGATTTCGAGGACGGCTTGTGAAAGGACAAAGAGTCAACCTTTGAAACAGCTCTTTGCTATAACTCTTTAAAGAAATCAAAATGAAATAAGGTGTCTAAGGAAAATATTTTCTTGATGAGATGACACAATCTTTTCTATCGCTTGTTAACAAATCAAAATGCATATATCAGGTACCTAATCGCATGTGGGTAATTTTGCAGTGCAGTGGTGTTGCTTTCATGAATGTAAAAACAGCAAAAGTGAAATGGTATTCATTTTAAGGAAAATGAAGTTAGGGTTGCAGCCAAAATAAAGGTAATTCTGTATAACTTAAGTGTGTTAAATCCGTTTGTTTATTTTTTCATTCAATTCTCTCTTTTAAAAAAAATATTTATTAAATTGATTGGGGCCAATTAGCTCTTTACCCAAGCAGAAATAAATGCTTTGAAACTCAGGTTGGGCTGAGTTTTATATCCCTCTCCTGGAAACACACCACCTACTTACTTCATGTCACGAGATACTTCTTTTTTTTTTTTTTAAATATATTTTATTGATTTTTTACAGAGAGGAAGGGAGAGAGATAGAGAGTTAGAAACATCGATGAGAGAGAAACATCGATCAGCTGCCTCCTGCACATCTCCTACTGGGGATGTGCCCGCAACCCAGGTACATGCCCTTGACCGGAATCGAACCTGGGACCTTTCAGTCCACAGGCCGACGCTCTATCCACTGAGCCAAACCGGTTTCGGCAACGAGATACTTCTTTTCAAATACAGGACACTGTACAGCGAGGCACAGTTCCTGGAGGGCACGAGAAGGGCATCGTGGCGGTGGATGCTTGTGCTCTGACACAGGATTCCTTCCCTGCCTTCTCCCCTCAGACCCCTCCCTAGGAAAATGGACTGTCCAAGTCTTTCTAAAGGAGGAAGACAAGGGTACCATCTGCTATTTCTTATTGTGTAGGGCAGCCGAAACCCTCCAGGATTTATGAATGAAACCTAACCTCTTTCAAGGTACAGGAAAAGTTATAGACACTTTTGGTGTGGCAATTGAATGAGCAAGAACTGGAGGAACTTATCCTATCAGAGCATCGTCTTTCTACACCAGCTGAGGGCAGCAAGGAGATACAGTCTCTTTTGTGGGTTGGTTTTTTTTCCCCTTCAATTTAGTAAGAAAGAAATAGAGTCCTTTTCTTGCCATTCCGCAGAACACAGTTTTCCTAAATCCAGTTTCATTGTGTGTGGGTTTTTTGTCGGTTTCCCTTGTAAGGACATGCAGTTTAAGCTCAGTTCCACCTGCAAACGGGAAGAGTATCACTGACAGGGACTAAGGAAATTGGATTATGGAATAATTAAAAATAAAATGTACATAAGGAATGCCAGTGTGAACAGCAAGTATGGAGCACGGTCCAGCATTCCTTGGGCATTTTGTCTGTGGAACAGAAAGAGCTGATCTTGAAGATTGCTGAGATTCATCAGACCTTGGGTGAGACCCCAGACTGAGTCTCCTGGGGCTCATCTCTCCCCAGAGAAATGAAGGGAAGGCCCTTTGCTACCTGGGCAGCAGCAAGAGCAGAGCACTCGGTCCCCGCCATCCAGCCTCCACCCCTGGGGGCGCTGTGGCAGCACGGGCCTGGGTCCCTCTCCAGGAGCCTGAGATGACCAAGACCCTCTTGCTTCCTCTGCAGTCTCCTGACTTTTGACCTAAGAGACTGAACCACAGCCCATTTCCTGAGCGCCCCAGCTTTGGGAGTGGCACCTGGGGGGCTGGGGTTGTTGGTGCACCAGCCTTAACCTCCATCGCTTGGAAGCTGACCTGTCAGGGACCTGAAGAGCATCCCGGTCAGGGTGGCTCTGAGCCCCTCTCCCGAGGAAGACACTTGAGGGTGAGAGGCCCACACCCAAGGCGTCACTGCTCTAGAAGGGGATGACAGCTTCGCAGTTGCAGCCCGTTTAGGAAGTAAAGACTTGACCCAGGGGCTGACTTGGCCTGAGTGCTCTCCCTCTTGGGATGGCTGGAGGTGCCTTAGCTTTACTCTAGAGCAGCAGTTCTCAACCTGTGGGTCGCGACCCCTTTGGGGGTCGAACGACCCTTTCACAGGGGTCGCCTAAGACCATCGGAAAACACATATATAATTACATACTGTTTTTGTGATTAATCACTATGCTTTAATTATGTTCAATTTGTAACAATGAAATTGGGGGGCACCACAACATGAGGAACTGTATTAAAGGGTCGTGGCATTAGGAAGGTTGAGAACCACTGCTCTAGAGGGTCTAGGGATGTGCTTCTCAGACCTGACTACACATTCCAATCTCCCTGGTCCTTTAAAAAAACCAGTGCCTGGGTCTCAACCCCTACAATTCTCTCTCTCTCTCTCTCTCTCTCTCTCTCTCTCTCTCTCTCTCAATTTGAAAAATTCATGTCTGTTTTATCAGCAAGTGCTGATTAAAAAGTCCCTGAATCATTTAATTTTTCCAGCTATATTAAGGCATTATAAACAAATAGAAATTATATAAATTTAAGATGTACAATTTAATGTTTTTATGTACATATACATTGTGAAATAGTCATCACAATCAAGCTAGTTAACATACCCATCACCCCACTTCTAAGTTCTTATTCAATTATTCTGAAGTCTGGGCATCAGTATCCTTTTTTACAAACATTTGAGGTGATTGTGGTGAACAGCTAAGGCTGAGCATCAACCCATGAACCAGAAGGTCACCGTTTGATTCCCGGTCAGGGCACATGATCAGGTTGTGGGTTTGAACCCTAGTAGGCGCATGCAGGAGGCAGCCAACCAATGATTCTCTCTCATCATTGATGTTTCTATCCTCTCTTACTCTCCCTTCCTTTCTCTGAAGCAATAAAAAAATATTTTTTTAAAAAGTCCCTGAATCATTTCACTTTTCTCTGCTTTAGTGAGGTATAATGGACAAATAGAAATTGTATATATTTAAAGTATATAACATTGGCCCTTCCATTTCTGTGCTCAGGGTTGTCATCACCTCCCCCTAGACAGGCTGGGATTGCCTCAAAGCAAGATCAGGTTGCTAACACTTGTATCATGCCTTACTATGTGGCAAGCACTATTACAAGCACTTAACTCTTACTAATCTTTTAATCTCATAACAACTTTACAGGGAAAATTCAATCATTCCCCCAATTTTATATATGAGACAACTCAGGCAGGCACAGAGAGGTTCAGTAACTTGCCTAAGGTCACACAGCAAATGGTGAAGGTAGGATTTGAACCCCAGCAGTAGGGCTCCTTGCCACTTTGTCATTGGAATAATTCATTAAAAGATCACATGTAACATTACATATATTTTAGCTAATGACTTTTTATGTAATGTTTAAAACATTTACATTTTTTTCAAAATTTTAGCTCTACTAAAATTCAACTATATTTCTTGAAATGTAACAGGGGCAGACAGTAAGAGTGATCTCTAATGGAGACATTGGTTGTGTTTATGGAAGCCAGTGTTATAAAGGGATTCTATTCTATGTACAGACTGTCCAGAATTTGCCGATAAAGAATTGTCAGCAAATGGACAGGATATAGAATCATAAAATATACCGAGCATAAGAGCTGGAGAGGGTCCTATGGATCATGTAGTCCAACCTCCTAATTTATTTATTTGTTCATTCATTCATTCATTCATTCATTCATTCATTCAAGTATCAGCACTCTTTGAGGACTTTTCATGTGGCAGGCATATGCTGGGTATGAAGCACACCAAGATGGCTAGAACAACTTTTCTGACCACAAGGAGTTCAGCCCCAGGCTCTGAGAGTCCTGAGCTCAAAGAAATCTCTGGACTGAAACATATATCAGCAATTGCTAATCATGAAAGTAGAATTTTTAAAAAATCAACAATACCTTAAAATGTCTATAATCTTTTCATTTCTATAAAGAATGTATTCAGCCCTAGCCAGTTTTGCTCAGTGAATAGAGCGGTCCCAGGTTTGAATCTGGTCAAGGGCATATCCCAAGGTTGCGGGCTTGATCCCCAGTAGGAGGCATGCAGGAGGCAACCAATCAATGATTCTCTCTCATCATTGATGTTTCTATTTCTCTCTCCCTCTACCTTCCTCTCTGACAACATTAAAAATAAAATATATTTTAAAAAAGAAAGTATTTGTATATGTATTACTGTATTTAGAAATTAATTTTGAAAAGTTCATGCAAATTACCCTAGTTAGTAAAAACACAGTGTAGTTCATTAGACTAAGCAAAGGGTTTTGAAAGTTGTTTTTTGGTTTTTGTCCTAATGAAAATAGTAGATACTACTGCAGAAACAAGTCGTTAAGTGAAAAGCCTGTTTAAGTTGGGCATGCCTGTTTGAGTTGAGTGCACCTGTGGACTGGCTAGGGCCTTGGGTGTAGGAACCAGCTTGAGCACAATGGGACCTACACAACGAGGAGACCGGGCCAGTCCATGACATCTAAGAGAGTTGGGCTGCAGGCCGGCTGAACAGGGACACAAGGGCTTTAGGGAACCCAGGACTCCCCTCTCCCAGTCCCAATTCTGCTCCTCTCTGCAGCTGCTTTGTTCTCTCTCAGATCAGCTTCTCCTGACTCCCAGATACAGTGGAGACTGGCTTCTGCCAACAGTTCTGAATTTGAATCTCCCCTTTCCCACAGAGCAGTCAGACTGTGGAAACCTCTCAGTTTCAATTCAGTTTCTTAGGGAAGGGGCTCACTAGCTCATTTCAGGTCAGGTGCCCTGCCCCGATCTGATTATTTTTTAACATTGTAAGCTTCTCCCTTAAATAATGCTAGCAATAGCAAGTAGTCCCAATCAAGTGTGTGGGAGATGAAGGTGAGGGGGCGGGGGGCGGGGAAGGTGTGTTAGGTGAGGCAAGGGCAGGGAAGAGAGCTGATCAGAGAAAGTACAGGACAGACTGTTCATTAGGCAACACATCTCTATTGAAAATACACTCACAGCCGTAACCGGTTTGGCTCAGTGGATAGAGCGTCGGCCTGCGGACTGAAGGGTCCCAGGTTCGATTCCAGTCAAGGGCATGTACCTTGGTTGCGGGCATATCCCCACTGGGCGGTGTGCAGGAGGCAGCTGATCGATGTTTCTCTCTCATCGAAGTTTCTAACTCTCTATCTCTCTCCCTTCCTCTCTGTAAAAAATCAATAAAATATATTTTTAAAAAAATAAAATAAAAAAAAATACACTGACACAGCCCTGGTCTGGTGGCTCGGTTGGCTGGAGTGTCGTTCTGTGCATTAAAAGGCTGCAGGTTCAATTCCTGGTCAGGGCACATACCTGGGTTGCGGGTTGGGTACCCCCCTCCCCCCCACACACACACACTCCCT